TGAACGATCTCTCTTCCCTTCGTCCGTAATATGTTTATACATTATCCTAAAGAAAACGGTGAAAAAATACAGAAGCACGTCTCCTCGAACGAAGACACGACCGAGCTTCCTTTTCCCGTTCGGATCGTCCGACGGCGCAAATTTCAAACTTCACGAGCTCTCCCGAGCGCGCTCACCGCCCTCCAAAGTAGTTTAGGTCAACGTTATATCGAACAGGGTCGAACGCGCGCACATACGAATATGATCAAACGGTACTTTCTTATCGTTCGCACAGCGTCGCTTGTAGTACCATAAATCGTGAATTATCGCTAACCCACGGTCGATTCAATTTCTTCTTTTCCACACGACGACTCCTATCGAGCATTACCCGATCCACATACCGAGTATCGCGTATCGCGTATGTGTGTGACTCGCTATCTCGCTGTGCTATTAAATCACGAGTGTGTGGAGAAGTCACCGGCGCGAATATCGCGAATCTCGGTGAATTCGCCGGACAGGCACCGTGCGAGGAACGGAGAGGGGGGAAGGAGAGGTGGCGGTACGCGGCACGATAATGCAGCCCCGAGTCCACTAATGGTATTCGGCTGTATCGACTTTTGATGCGCTTTTCCCGCTGCGAAGAACGCGTAATCTGACATCGGACGGGAAATTAATTACATAATACCCGGAGCTTGGGAGAGAGCGAGCGAGCATCTCGATGTACTCAACGGAGCGAGGGAGGAGGGTGGCAGAGAGTGCTATTTTAATCACTAAAGGAAATCTCGCGCGTTGACATTGCATTTCGCTGTCGTGTAATGCGGCAGCGAATTGCATTACAACCGGCACGATCGCGCCACCGTTCGCCGTCGCCGTTCTCGCAATTTCGCCCTCGGGAAATTTCCGGACGAATTTCCGAGCCGCGTCTTCGGGAGCTCGAAATTCGCGACGCGACCACGCGAATCAAAATGGAACGCACGGGAGGGGAGGGGGAATCGTCGCGCATTCATCGCGCGATTCCGCGATAAAAATTAGCCGTGAATTCAACGAACGCTCATGACCGCTTCGTTTCATCTATTCATCCTCCGTTTCGGAGGATGAAAATCGCTCTCTGATGAGAGCGAAGCCGCGAACGGGGGTACGACGGGGTGTTTCGCTGATTAAGCTCTTCCTCGTAAGCTCGATATCGCGAGATATCGTGGACCGGGTAACGAAGCGAAATAATTACCCGACGTTCTCCTCACGGGGAAGAGAGTGGGCAGGGGAGCGGATGGAGAGAGAGAGAGAGAGAGAGAAAGAATATTCCGTATCAGTCTCTCTCGTTCCGCTTGTCGCGCGGGAGAAATTTTTCTCCTCCTCTTCCCCTTCCTCAGTCCTCTTCTCCCCGTCGCTTTTGTTCTTTAGTCCCGCGCGAACAATCGCGCGGCTATCGATCCGGATGGATCGCGCACCGAGAACGGCATGCGCCGTTCGATTTATCGTCGCGCGATCTTTTTATCGAACTTCCACTACTTTCCTGATGAAAACATAACCTCGCCAGAGAAAAGAGAGAGAGAGAGGGAGAGAGGGAGAGAGAGAGAGAGAGAGAGAGATGAGGAAAATTAAACAAAAAATACACTTACCTTAATCAATCGCGAGGTTCACGAAGGCCGAATTCCTCAGGAAAGGTTTATTCCTCTTCATCCGTCGACCCGAATGTGCTCCCGGACAATTGCCGTGGACGCGAAGTGGATGGTCGTCGCAGTCATCAGTGCAGCCACACGCGGCCGCCTCTTCCGCCCGGGCCGTCAGCAGGAATGAACACGTTAGACGGCTGTGTCATTCGTGTCACTTTGGGTCTCGCAGTCTGAGAAACGCGGAAGTCCGACTGAATGACACGGGAACGAATCACGATCTCGTCCGGCCATCTTGCGCGCCGAAAACGTCTCCTTCGTTGAATTCGAATCGACCGCCGCGAGGGATTCGGGCGCGCGAGTCGCGATTGGACTGTCTCGGCGAATTTAAGTGTTCGACAGTCCCGGCGGCGTGAAATGCGCACTTGGTCTGTTACGCGGCGTCACGAAGCGTTCTCGGTAGGTCGGCTTGATCTCGAGCTCCGTCGCTGACATGACCATCCTCCCGTCGATTTTCCGAGGTCCCACCGACGGTTTTTGAGGTTAACACTGCCGTTCAAACGCGCGTCCTGCCGCGGTGCTGTCACAAAGTCGCGCGAACGTCGCGCGGGATCGTCCGATCGTGTGATCGCCGCAACGCGGGCTGCTCGTAGCATCGTGGCGCGTCATCGCCGGTGAATTTCGCGGATCGCGTCGTTCGTTGATCAGGCAGTCGCTAAAACTCGGCACGGGACACTTCGTCTCGCAATACGGACCGTCCGCGTTCCGCGTGTCGCGCACATGCACGTCGCACTTAATCTTCGCGAGAAATTCGTTTCACGATCTCTCTCTCTCTCTCTCTCTCTTTCTCTCTCTTTCTCCCTCTGTCTGTCTCTCTCTCTCTACCGATCGCGCACCTCTTCCGCAGTGTAACGGTCGCGAGAGCAATTGATGTTTCGACAACTAACTCGCGTCAGTTTCGTTCGCACCCTCGATGTTTGGTGCGTCCCTTGCGCGCAACGTAATCATGAGCGAAAGAGAACTCACCGTCGGTCAACGTCAACTTCGACGAAGTTCCCCGTCAACTCGTGTTCGATCGCGATTTCCTTCGGATCATGCTTCGCGCAGAAAACTTGGCACGTACAATGAGCAGAACTCGTCGCCAAAAGAAAAGTTGCTGGTTTCAGCGCGTCGTCGGAGCTCGCGAAGCACGACGACGTCCGGTCGCCGGTGTTGCATTCGTCCCGTCTAGCCGACACGCGACATCGTACCCGTAGCCGACGCGGGAAAAAGCGCCTGGTTACAGGACGCGAGAGCGTGTCGGAAGCTGCGGGAGAGCCTGCAGACCGCGTAGCGACGTTGTCGCTGTCTGCGGAACCACTGCGGACCGATGTAGCTTGCAACCCCTAGGTTCCCGACTCCCGACCAACCCCTCGCGTGATCTTCTCGTTCTACTGGCTGGCTGGCTGGCTGCCTCGCTAGCTCTGGCTGGCTGACATAAGGGCACTTCTACTACTTGCCGGTATATCGCGCTCTCTCCCTTTCTCTCTCTCTCTCTCTCTCTCTCTCTCTCTTCTTCCCTCCCCCTCTCTCTCTTTCTCTCTGTCGCTCGATCGCTCGCTCGCTTTCCGAGGAAATTTTTCACGCGCGTTTTGTTCAAGATAGTTAATCCGTTAAACCATTTCTTAGAAAGAAATTCTTTCAAATTTTAGCTGCATATCGAAATATTATCTACATATTTATAAAGTTCGAAAACGACTGACCATTCGGAAACTGAAATATCTGCAACTGAAGATGTGATACTTTTTATACATATTCCTTGATGTTAAGATTCTATTTTTGATTTCTTCTAAACCGCATTTAGGATTTTAATGAAAAAACTGTGATATTAAGGACTGATATAGAGATATTACATAAAACTTTCAGAATTATTGACCATTCCGTTTTGAAAATATAGGCCACAGGAAATTTACAATTTATAATAATACCCGCGATATATGTACATATATTTATATACGTTACTTTCTATTATGTGTGCATCTCTATTAGCTCAATTGACATGTAAATAAAGTATTAATAAAAAAAATAAAAATAAGTTATACATATATATGCATATACATATCCGTGTTTTTGTTAATATCGGTTGTATATTTGTCTTAATTACGTTCAAAATTAACATTTATTACGTAGATAGTTAAATAAAGTGGGAAGTATTTTTTTCAATAAGAAATTTATGTAGAAGCCCTTTAATATCGCCACTGAAAATCCGGCACTCCACGGACAAACTATCTTAAGGATGAACGCGAAGTACTCGCTGGAGATTACTGCTTATCGGGGAAATCTGTACACATACTTCGTCTACTTAAATAACTCTAACTTTAAAGAGTGCGCTTTAATTCGACGACCTGTTCTCCCGGTGGGAAGAAACTTAGAAAGATAGGTTATCGCGTTATTTTTTTGTCGAGATATTTATAGAAGAGAAGAGGAAAGGAAAAGAAAATATTTGTTGTGCTGAAGTCGACTTACAAATAGGACAATTGGGAATATCATTCATAATCGTTGAAGATATAATATAATATAATGTTAATAAATACAATATATTATAAACGAATATATATAAAACAGCCATCTGCTAAGAATGCTTATGTATTATTTAATTTATGTAATGATTTGTGTTCTCTGTACGATAAGAAAAAGAAAGAAGAGAAATAAATACAACGCTCGAACATCCTCGATTGAAAATGCACGATTGATCGCAGTGTACATATCGTAAAATTATTATTAGTCGAGTTTTCCCATTTATACTTATTTCGCTACTCAATGATAAGTTATGAAAAAAAAAAAACACCGAAGAGATGATTGCACTCGACACGGTCGAGTATGCATTTTTCAACTGACAACGCGCGCTCAACGAGTGCCGTTATAAATTATTAAATGAAACGGTAGTTTATCAATATGAGCCGCAAACCATTCATTTGTTTCTATGCCCTGCGGCGAGGCCGTCGCAATTGTTGGAAATTAATTTAGTAAAACGACCGCAAACTCCAGCTGCTTGTCAGTTGAAATTACACGCGAAAGGATAACTTTAATAATAAAAAAAAAAAAGAACGGAAATAATTATCAGCCGATCTTGTATTTACGATATTCATCCACATTAGATTGCATGAAAACGTCGTAAATTACAAAATTAAAAAGATGCGCAAATTAATGACAAACGAGAAATATTGTATGTCTAAGGGTACAAACGTTCAATTAAAATTAGAAAACAAACTAAAATATATATTTCATCGCGGAGACGAATCGTTGAGTCCAGAGTAGAGTTATAAAATTAACTTTAAGTTCAAAATGACAGTTACTATGCATTTATTTTCCTAATTACTATTACTATGCTATACATATATATATATATATATATAATATCAATATACAGTATCAAAATATTTTATTGAAAATATTAGTTAAATAAAGTGTTTTACTCATGTTAAAAACTAAATGCTCCTTTTGGGCTTCAAATAAAAATTGTTTTATTTCTGTAATTTTTTTTTCATAAAATTGCCATTTTAACAGTTTTCAAAAATTACCGAGAAATTTGCCGTAAATTGCTGAGTAAGTTACCGTCGGATTATTTTCATTTCTAATCCAGAATGATATATATATATATATATATTTATTCGCGATGCTTTATTGCAAGGATAACATTAGGATCACTGTAAAGTACGTCGGGAATAAAGTTCAACATAAACCGTCGGCGCGAAATTTGTTTTCCGAAACTCCCTTAGATCAATCTTGTTTACCGTTTACCGGGTAACGGGAAGCAATAAGCCTCGAGTTTGCCCAGAGGTGTACGTTCGGTTCCGACATTACTTCCTCAAGTATACCGCGTTTACATAGCGGATATACGTGCTTGATATATGATCCAAGAGCCTTAAACATCCCCGATATACACCGTGAAAATCTATACTAGCCCGGTGCGGCGATACCGCGCCATAGCTTTATAACGAAATTGCCACTTGCGGAGGGCTCGCAATAAAACGTACTACACTATTGTACGCTTAATTCCGACAGATATATGAGTGTTCCATCCGCGTGCAAAAACAGAAAAGAAAAAACTCCTATAACCGCGTGTACATCACGAATTCGAATTTTCGCTTAATACGTCTCCTTCGACATACTGTCGGTATTTTTTAAAGCAAAAACTCATCACGAGATAGAATGAAACACACGAAGCCCTGCGATATTTTCACAACTTGTGCAATTACAGAGTGATTCCTCGGTGGAACTGAAAAACTCGAAATCCCGCAGTTCCAATTGTGTTACTGGATTGTGGAGCGATGTTTGAAGACATTAATTGAGTGACATTCAAAAAAATTTGCAAATCCAGAGTGCTAATAGATAAAGCTCAAATTTGAACAGCGCCCAAGAGTCTGTACGAATTAAATTACATTGTACGCGCGTATTATATGCGTTCGTTCTCGTTTTATTTCAACGATATGTCAAGGAACTTCCACATCTCGTTCAGCGGGATTTCTCCGTTTCGAGATTCATATTTTTTCTATCGTGGATTGGCGTAGAGTTCTCGGACTGCTGGAATTGCTTTCCTTCGTGATGATTCAAAGTTATGAGAGTTCCGAGAACGTATTGATTAAACAGAGGCGTTAAAATTTCTAATGAATTCCCCGAAGAAAATCCTTCAGGATTCTTCTACCGGGCACTTTCGAATTTTTGGTGTATGTGTGTGATTAAGAAGATACATCGATACATAAATCTTTATAATATAACGCTGGTCGATTGATTTCTTTTCTTTTATTACATGTACATCGCCCTGACTTAAATTATGCATGAGTAATACACGACGAGTAATACACGACGATATATACTCGCATGCGCGCGCGCGCGCGCGTACAGCACACACACAAGATCGCATTTCGGAACAGAACTTTTCGAAGAGAGTGCGAGTTGCAATTACGAACTTTTGTTCACGCAATTACCAAGTCTCACTTCTCACGACCGTTTCTAAATTAAGAGGAACGAGACAAGATATCTAGAGCAAGGTAATCAGCAGTTCGCGCAGCATAACATCGCGCTCCTTTGACGTGGTAGCTCGTATCTACGCTCGTATCTACGTCGGTGCATATTCACGCTTCCTACTACGGGCAAATTTGTCTCCTTAATATACTTCATAGTGGCGTTTCATTAAATCATTCTACATTAGTTCAGTGGGACTCGATGTCGTCGCCCTGTTATAGAATAATCCAGCATTTGGAACGATCCACGTATAAATGCATTGCGCGCAGGATACATACCTCGATGAACCGTCGAAGTGCAAAGTCTCCAGAAGAGACGTTTAGTCGCAAAAGTATTTAATATTGGCGGTAAAGGAATCTTTGCAAACATTCGAAGGATATAAATAAGAGATAAAAATATATTGTATGTTTATACGTACACAAGGTGTGCCGAAATTAAAACGATAAAATTTAGGTACTTGTGAAGAACGATAAAACAAGTAATTTTTGTCAATAAACCTATGTTCGCAAATGAGCCGCTTTGGTAATAGAATGAATTATTTGCAGCACTTGTTTGAAGTGTTGGCCATTTATTTCCGTGCAGAGATATCAGCAATTTTTTTCCTGGTCCCGATTTTTATTATTTTGATAAAAACATTAATATATAAAAAAATTGCTTTATCAAATTGAAGATTGATGAAAATTTTCAAACGGGTAGAATTAGAATTGTTTGTTAATGACTCGCGAATTTAATATAACAGCGTTTCTTTACCATTTATTCGAAATTCATTTTCAAAATGAAAATTTTTTTCTTTTGACGAACTGACCGATATGCGTTTTATTTATAAGCTAGATGTAAATAGTCAGTATTCTAACAACTGTTGTAAATAATTCACTCTAGTGCCAAAATGGTTCATTTACGGACATAGATTTATTGACAAAGTTCGGGTGTCCTTCAGCACCCGAAGTTTGTCTAAATTCGGACTAATTTCTTATCTTCGGTCTAATTTCGGAACATCCAGTATATATAAGATGCGACGCTAAAGATACAACGTAAAGACGCTAACGATACAATCGTCGGTAAAGTGACGCCTCGTGCAAAAATAAAAGTCGCAAGCGTAAAACAACCCTCGAAAACGAGGCTTTATTCGTGAGAAAAGCTATTTTTGGAAAAAATTGGAAAATTTGCAATATCTTTTTCATAATCATCTTCAACGGACTATCGTGTGTCATCGAAATCGTCTTGACGACAGCTACTGACACATAAATAAAAAAGTACGATATGCAGAATCTTAAATAATTATTTACATCGAGTAACATCAAGTGCAAAATTATTTATCTTTATATCGAAAAAATAAATCTTTTGAACACAATTCCGCCATTGTGTTAGATGAAAATTTGTTCAAATTATATAAATTCAACTTTTCCTCCTTTTGTAAATTTTTGCTTTACAATTTGTTCACCGTGACTTAGTTTTCAATTATACCAAAAAGGCACATACACCTTTCTTCTGTAGCTGTAACATAGTTTACTGTAATCCACAAAATGAGTAAGATGTTTGTTTCTCTTTTCTGTTGTAAAAAATCATACATATAACAAAAAAACACTATATGCATAATTTTTTACCTTTATATATATTATATACCGGAAAGAATAATAAAATCGCTTCTGAATTATAAAATTCCACATTTGCATGATTAATACAGAACGTCAAAAACATAATATATCAAAACATGTTATTTAATATCTGGAGTGAAATTTTAATCGGTCGACGATTAAACGCTAAATGTCGTAAACATATTTTCTGTTTTACAATAGCAAGTAACTTTTTAATCACTACATGAATCAAATATTTCTCTTAACTTCATACAAAACTGAAATGCTTTTAACCTAAGACTACCGATTGTTTTTTGAGAGATAAGATTTATAAAATTAGATAATAAAACATATACATGGAGGTAATCCATGAAACTTCAAAATAACAAAGACAAGATATAAAATTCAACATATTATAAATACTCTGAAATATTTGTTAAAATGAAACAAACTAAGGAATAATATCGGGGTAAATCGTGTCAAAAATATTATCACGGTTTATACAGGGTTTGTCCGGAAAGTAATGCGTCGCATTTTTTTGTAACACGAGTATACGTCCCTGAACGGTCGGACCGGTTGGAGAGGGTGGGTGAAACCCGTAGCTTTCTAGCGGTATGTCGCTCAATTGCCTTCATGCGCTTGGAGGAATAGGACGGCTTGTTCCGAAGACTTCTGCGTAGTGGTCGCGTCGAAGGTACTATGGAGAAAACGTTAAAGCAACGCTAAGTTTTGTGTGAAGCTTAAGAAGACGCCGCTGGAAACATTTGAAATGCTTCAGGAAGCTTTCGGATATGATTGCCTTTCCAGATCGCAGTCGAACAGATGGCACAAGATGTTTCGAGATGGTCGGGAGGAGGTCGCAGACGAGGCCCGCGCAGGACGCCCGTCAACATCGCGAACGGACGACAATGTGACTCGTGTGCGTCAACTACTGTTTTCAGACCGTCGAATGAGTGTTCGCTTAATGTCTGAATTACTGAACTTGCCGAAAACGGTTGTGCACGAGATTGTATCGGAAGACTTGGCCATGCGGAAGATTTGCGCAAAACTTGTGCCCAGAGTTTTGACAGATCTCCAGAAGCAACATCGGGTGGAAGTGTGTGCAGAACTTTAACACCTCTGCGCAGACATTTTTTGTTCCCTCGGCTGAAAAGGGCCCTTAAAGGAAAACATCTGGAGTCGATGGACAATGTGCAAGCTACGTCGACGGCCGCCCTGAACAGCATCACAGTCGACGAGTTCCAGAAAGCGTATGACTCATGGAAATCGCGCTGGCAAAAATGTATAGATGCTGAAGGGGCGTACTTCGAAGAATTTTAAGTTGTTGTACCTGTGCGATTAATAAATAACGTTAAAAAAAATGCGACGCATTACTTTCCGGACAAACCCTGTATGTCACCGCGATTCTCTCATGAATCTTATGTGGGCAAAATAATAATAAAATATTATCGCAAATAAATCTGTTGTGATAATCACCTTAAAAATCAACAGGAAACAATTACTTCTTATGGTGTCCATGACACATGAAAAAGTACGCCGTGTTACAGTGCTAGCTGCATTTCGAATTCCTGAAAATTGCCTCAAACATCATTGTTACAAGACTTGAGCTGCAATGATGTATGCAGCTTGACATTCATTGTTATCGTATTGTTTGGGACATGTGTAGTGGCGTTAACATCAGCTCGAAAGTGGCATCCTTCAGATTCGCGCCGCGTAGATTCGCATCCTGCAAATCAGAGCCGGACAAGTCGCAGAACTGAAAAAAAAATATCACGCAGAAATACAGAAATGTAGAAATATACATATTGATAGGATATATGCATGTATAAAAGCAAGAGACAAAGAGAGAAAAAAAATTATACGCAAGTATTGGGTTTAGTAAAGTGACATGTGTGTAATAACATGATAAGCACCTCTAAATCAGCGCCGGCCAAAACAGCGGATCTCAAAACGCAATTTCTAAGATTAGCATTTTTTAACGTGGCTACTCGAAGATTTACGGCTGCCATGTTGCTGCCTTCGAGATTAGCACCCTTCAGATTTACACCCTCCATATTCGCCGACAGACCGCCGGGGTCCTCGAAATTGCACGAGTGTAAATTGGCCGCGGCTAAATTCGCGCACAACATCTTGACGCACACGAGCTGCGCGCCCTGCAGATTGGCGTGAGATAAATCGGCGCGCTCGAAACAACATCCTGACAGATTAGCGCCCACCAGACTGCAATGATGCATGATAGCGTACTGCAACGGGAAAACGCATAAATGTAGACGAGATTCTTGCCGGCTAACGTCGTCCTTGTCATGTTGATTATTTTCTCGTTCGCAATGAGCACGCGTGTACCTTAAAATTAATATTCCTGAGATCTAGCTTCGAAAGATCGGCTCCTACGAAGTCGACGCCCTGGAACCTGAGTTCCGCGCTAGTCGGCGTCGACATGATCGCTTTAAGTACATCCTTGCGAGTTAGAGATATAAGACCGTCCTTCTGCAGTTCCTCCTTTTCCATCATTGTAGTGAGAATTCGAATGGCGCCCTCAATACCGTAAAAACGTGCCTCCGCCAGTACACCTGAGAATCAAAATATTTGTTTTATCATGATAAAAGAAAGAAACACTTTGTGTTGCACCAACAATTCAGATTTAGAAATATGTACCAGCTACATTAACATTAGAGTCAAGTATCACCTGACCATGCCGCAAATAATTTAATAATGGTTCAAAATACGTTGGGCTTCTGTCTATTAAATATGCTCCCTGATGATCTCGCCTGCTTGGCTGCATCGCATGTTCTGCATCTTCAGGCTCTGTAAACATTCTATGTATAACGTTTTTACATTATTATTGTATCATTTCAATACAGCACAAACATATCCTTCCTCACTCTCTTCTATTTCTTTTTCAGACTCTGTTATTCATTCCAGTTATCACTAACAATTTAATTTCTATAATTAAGCGCCACGTTCCATCTTAATTGTAATTAAATGAACAATTTTTCAAAAAATATTATGCAAACTTTATTTGAGTGAGTCCAATATTTATTTTAAGTTTAGTTATTTAATATATATAAGTAAAGAATAGCAATCTCGAAACTAGATAATTTACCTTGCTAACATGCTCATAGGTTCCTTTTTTGTTAAAGTATCCCTAGTTGTGGTAAAATATTTCCCACCGACATTCAATGTGATCCATTCTGAATTCCTATTTAGCTGATTATGATTACGTATTTTATCCTTGTGTATAAAATCCTCACCGCATGAAACATACAAAATATCATCATCTCTGTAAAAATGGAATCATTTAATATTATTTAATAGTTAGCAAAAATAAAATGTCAAATATATATTTATATTTCCGATAATATTTTTGGAGCAAAAAGTGTAATTTAATACAGCAAGTATTGAGGAATAGCTATAAATGAAATATTTTTAATTGCAGGTAAATTAATAAACAAATAAGCATTTCACCTCATCAGCTTAATATCATCAATTTCTCCACCTTGTGGCGTGAAAATTCTCTTCGCGGTTATTTCGAATTTTGCACTAGCCGCCGTCAATAATTCGTCCAATGAATGAGTCACCACAAACACCTGTTAAAAACAAGAATATATACGATGAAATATGCAAATGAGCTATTTGCATAATGCACATTAAGCGCATTGTGTGAACAATGTAACAAAATTTCAATCGTCAAGAAATACGTGCGATAAAAAAAATACTAAAGCGAGCATTTACTTTTGCAAATAACGGAGCAATATAAAACACGAGACCAAATGTAATTCACTACGAATAATAGGTGAGATCACCTTGCCATTAACATCGGTCCCATTCACAAAAATGATAACTCTTTTCATAATTGTATCGCAATCAATTGTTCTTGATATATGAAATCTATAAATAGAGCATGGACGGAGAACACTGTCAAGAATAAGTCCGAATCGACAGCCGGCTGTAACAAATTCAACCATGAACTTTGGTCCGGCACAGCCAAGAGCGATACAAAGTAGGCATCGTACGGATAGGTTGGGGACGGACGATAATAATCGATCACGATTCGATGTTCGATTTCTTCTTCGTTCGAAGAATCGATTATCTCCACAAATTTGATCGTAGTGCAAATTTTTTAACAATGCATTCGATATTTTTATTAGATTTCATCGCCAAATTTTACTGAACATACGATTCCCGTAATGTATGATCAAAATATTCGTATGATTTGCCGTCGAGTCATACTACTTGAAAAAAAAGATTCTTTTGACCTATAATTTTGAATTGTAATACTAAAAATAAGAATCCAAGCAGAACAATCGCGAAGATAATTCATATAAAGTATAAACATTCAACACATTAAAAAATATTTTAAGTGCTTATATATAATAACTTCTAAATTAATGTTTATCTTTATTTCGATACAAATCTATTTAATACACCGTAATCTTTATTCTGAGTTTCAAGCTTCTTCGGTGTCTCTTCTTCTGCCGCTTCACGAAACGTTTTGATTGCTTCCTGAAAATAATATCAATTTATATGATCCAAGCCCGCTTCACAAACATCGAAAATGAAACACTGAAATTCAGAATATGCAAACTTACCCGACGACTTAAGTCTTTTAATATCTTCTTAGTTTTTATTATCTTCGCAGTGCCACCTTTTCCCTTAGCCTTTGACCGTCGGGATTTGAAGTCGATCGATTTTGGTTTGATATACTTGAGAAAAAGAAATTACGACCGTTAAAATGTTTACTCGGTGAACTTGACGCTCACAAGGATGTAATTGCAAAACACAACGATCTGCATCTTAACGTATCTTCTGCTCTTACTTACCATAAGCTTCTTCTTTGCTTCTACTTTGTCCTTCAAAGTAGGTACATCAACCTCCGCTATACTGGTCGAGTCGAGGGTAATAAATTCTGGCTGTATTTTCTCCAAAAGTGCTTTCACTTCCGTTTCTCGTCGCTGCGTTTTAGTTTCGAACAGATTAGTCTCGAGCGCATCATAGTTCGCTTCGGCGCTTCCTGGTATCAGCAGTGACGAAAATTCATTGGCCGTAGCGATTCCTAGTACATCTTCATACGGACAAAATTTCGCACAGCATATGTTACGAGCGGTCTTATGCCGCATATACGGCTTGAATTTACCCGACGTTTCTCTGATAAAAATATTAGGGTTACTAATAATTCGCTCTGATTATATACTTAACTTGGTTAATCGGGATATTACTTATAAACTTCCACCACGTTGCCCATCGCAAGGGCGAGAAGACCACACTGGCTATAAGACATACGATAAGCAGGAGAACGAAGAAATACATGGTTGACTGGCCCTGCCAATTGTCTGACGTCCCAGAGCTTTACAGATCTATCTGCGCAACTCGTTGCCATATAAGTCCCATATGGATGTACGGCACATGTCATGACTGGAAGTTTGTGGCAGAGCATCTTTGCCAATGGCTTATGTTCGTTCGGAGACCACATGGATACTATTCCTCTCGAGTCTCCAATACATAAGACAGCATTACTTGGATTTTGTGTCATGACCTACCGTGAGTTAATAAACTTTTGATAAACATTCAAGATATAGTGAAGTTAAAATCAACCAGGTTTTTTTCAAGGAACTTACAGATATTCTGCCAAGATTTGTGTTGAAACGGGAAATAAGCTTGCCTATGGATACATCTAGCCAGGCTACATTACCATCGGTGGATCCACTGGCGAGCAAGAAATGATAAGGCAAAAATTCCAGTCTTGTTACACGATTCATCCTCTTCAAGCAATGCAACTCCACCCCCTGATTGTCATACACATAAACCCAATCCTTCTGAGCTACTGCAAACATAGTTTCCTGATGCAACCATGCGACATCGTGTATGGACTCCATTACGTTTATTTCACAGGCTACTTTCTTTTCCACCCAGTCGAAAGTTGCAACATGACCTAGTTTCCCACCCAGGAGTAAATGCCTGCCATTTCTGGTGTACCTAAAGCAATAGGGGCCATATCGCAAGTCCAGTTTGAATTGTTTGGCTGCACTTATTAGGTTAACGTTGTCTGCGATTTGTTTCTGTCGATATGCAGTAGTAGTTTCTCCCTCTTCAGCTTCCAGGTAACCATGCTCTTCTGTTAGTAGTAACTCTTTCCGAGCGGAAGCTTCCGCTGCTTTCTCTATAGCTAGCTCTTTTTTCTTTAGTTTTGATCTCAATACTTTATTCTTAATTGCAGTCGTTTTTTGTTTTAAATCGATACCAGAACCTTTTGAGTATCTCGCTAAGGCTTCCTTGTTGACCGGCGCCTTTCCACGGTATTTTGCATTTTCTAAAAATGAAATAAACATAATTAGAATAACAGCAGTTTAAGGTTATTTTTACATTCTGTTTCAATTCCTCCTACTTGGTCGATTCATTGTGGTTCCTCTTGGCGTTCTTGTTTAACCTCAACACTTATTATTCAATCAACATTAAATATGTTATTGATTAAATTTATATCAAAGAGAACATTCAAAATAATACGAAGTCAACAGTCTTTAAACACCGCGTGGCTACCATAATTTGATCCGCTCTTTTTAGCCAGAAACTGGCTGCAGTAAGAGAAACTTAAATACTCCGCACCAGTTCAGCTAAAAAGAACAAACCAACTCTATATAACGTTTACCGGCCAACCACACGTCGGTGTAGGGCTCTTATTGGCAGGACGGCAAATGGAGCTATCAGTGCTGTTATTCCTTCATCAAACTCTACAAGCGAAAACCGATGCCCAATAGAAAAATTCGTTTTCTAGAGATAAAATGTCGCCAACTGGAATCTCTGAGAAACGAGCTCTTTTATTGGACATCATCAAACGTTGAGTGCAGTACGGATTGCCATGGAACGCAACCACAAATTCGAATCTTCGCGATTTTGCCGCACGAGGTCTCCGAAATCAATTAAAAACTGTGCCGTCACTCTTTCATTGGCTCTCGGGGGATATCTCGTCAGTGACGGAAAATCATACAGGTTTCCGGTAAGAATCCACGAAAAGTCATAATAAAGGTAGCATATAAGTGTTAAATGTATTTGGTGTGTGCTGTCAGCACGAAATGAGTCTTCAGGACGCGTTGTACGTTGTTGCGACCGCGCCGTTTAACGCCGTTTACAAAGGGAGCAAAGTGACCGCTTCGTACGCTTGGCATACTGCTGCAGCGGTAAGTTGCAACAATTTGCACACGTAGCTAATGAATGTTACCTGATATACATCGCTGACGTACGTACTTATTTCGCACTCACCGCAATTGTCCGTTTGGCCACGTTCTTTTGTAGGTACAATATTGCACTTCGCAGGTTTTCGTATCGAGGTCGGATAATTGTACATTCGTGTGTGGAAAGAGAACGAGAACGGAAGAACGAAAGAGAACGAGTAGCATCGCAAAGAAATGCAGAAAGTGTAATTAGAAAAAAGTACATGAATATACATAGCTACCGTTAGCAGTGATTTCTCATGGACATTGTTTCCTTTTGAATTCTAATTATAAATTCTACTTGCGTTTCCTGTATTTCACGTTTGCTTACTCTTTCGTTCGAAGTTTCTTGAACACGTAGCAGTCTCATCTAAATGCACAAAGAAAAATACGGCTAAAGCTATTGTTACTTATATGTCTTATTGTGCAATTAATAATGCGCTTTAATGATTAATGCTTGATGTTTTACGTTTTTAAAATCACCTGTCTTCCAACTTCCAATGTAGAATGTGTTCATGTACTGCGACGGAATGCAATTTTTCGCGAGTTTTGTGAGTTCGGTTTTAATCAAGCCTTCATTCCTGTTAATTATTTTGGGCACAGTAGTTTCCTTATCTCTCTGTTCGTGTCGTTAGATGGGCAAAATGTATAGTTAATTATTAAATATGAGTAATAATATAATTACTAGCCATCGTTGTTTAAAGTATAATTTTTCTTATCTCTTACTCATACCATCCTAATATGCAATATCATGCTACAGTTTTTTTTATCAAGCATTTTTATATATGTAGTTTCAAGTGCTTTTATCTATCTAATGTTATTATATTATATCCATACATATAATGAAATGTCAAAAGTAAAAGTTTGCAAGCTGGGAGAACATCTGTGTTGTTGTCTGCATAATTACCTTTACAGCTTATTATGCATGTTATTATTATGTTATTTTACTTGAATCATTGTTACTAAATTATATGATAAAGTTTTCAAGAATGATTATATAAATAAGCAAATTCCCTGTATATGAAATTATCAATTTTAATTACTTATAAACTATTTGAAGTGTTATTAGTGTTGAATATACTAACAATATGAGAAGTCATATGTACTACTAGTTGCATATACCTTATTACTTCTATTTCTTTATTGCTCTATGAATTAAAGGGAGGTTGCTCAACAATCGTAAACTTTTACAGGCCACAGAATACTTAGGACTAAAATCAAAAGTTGAAGCAAAAATGGCTGAGCCTATACCTATATGGAAATTAGCTGCTGCCAGTGGACCATATGTCAAACTCGCAGCTTTGAGTGGAACAATGGCTGTAGTACTTGGTGCTATTGGATCTCACAGTAAATATATCATATGAAGCCATATTTGTGTATATTCAGATCTATGTGAGCTTGAGATTTGAACGACATATTTGGTTCTACAGGATATTACTCCAAAGATGAAGAAGGACAGGAGCAGCGTCGAATCTTTGAAACAGCAAATCGTTATCACTTCATACACACTCTAGCTCTGTTAGGAATGCCACTCTGCAGAGTTCCATCCGTGGTACGTTAAACTGCTGCAGAATTTGTTCATAAGGATTGTTGTGTTATATAATAACAGCATTAGTTGTGTATATCGATATATAATAATATTTTACGCTTCGTTGCAGGCTGCTATACTCATGCTCTCTGGAATCGTGCTGTTTAGCGGCAGCTGCTATTATACCGCTTTTACCAATGACCGACGATTGAGCAAGTTGACACCTGTTGGAGGATTTTGTCTTATACTAGGGTGGTTTTCCATGATCTTTTAATTAATATCGTCAGATACGCGGTATTATACTAAGATAAATACTATAAGTCTAAATACATAAAAAAAGGAGTTACAATGTTATTACATAAGGTACTATATATAATCTTATAAATTTAAATTCTATATATTGTCAGCTTGTATACAGTATTTTCGATAAACATACAAAGAAAATAAAGAGGAGGAGCTATATGCTTATTTTAAATTAACACATATTTTTTTACAAGTTTGCGACGCGTTTTTGCCTTTTCGGTAAATAAAATACATAATATGACGAAAATGTTATTGATTTTCTGACATGTTGATAAATATTACAAGAAACGTTAGGGCTCACTGATCACAATAAAATTATGTTAAACTGACAGTTGAAATGTCACTTTTAAAATGAAAGATAATATTTACGCACGTGAAGATTGTAACAATACGAAAGAGCGAACGTTCTGCTACCAAGCGGAGAAAACGGGACGAATATATCTTACAACTTAATATAATATATATAATTTTTTTTTATTTCAAATATATTGCAATACAAATTATTTTATTATATAAATAAAGTCGAAATAAATTTGTGTAAAAATACCTTTTATACTAAAAAAATTATATATACACACATGCGCGCGCGCATACATACATACACTGTATATATATATATAATTTTTTAAATATTCTAAGAACATTTTTATAATATGCCAAGAATATTATGTGAAGTGGATATATAATACCACAATATTTCTATAATATTAAGAAATATTACATGATATTTTATTATAGAACATTAGAATATTATTTTAATATTTACCCAATAGCACACGATATCCCATGGACGTTCTGTGGACGTTTTTAGGATATCGGGATGTCCTAAGGACATCCTCAGGATGTCTAGGAAATCTGTGCTGTCTGGATAATAACATTCATGTAATATTCTAGCAGTATTACGCACTTATAGGATTAACTCTTTCCAATTGTAGTAGTTGTAAGCATGAGTATCTTCCGAGAGAATATCCCGGACTTTGACCGGAAAAAATTAAAGCAACGATGTTTGTATGGAAATGTTCATCGCGTTGGTTTTTTATTGACATCTGCACTACTGAACCATTGCAATAGGTTAGAGTGGAACAAGTATATAATGTCTCTAACTCGTATCAGTTCAGTAGTGCAACTAAGATGTGCAACTAGAGAACAGATCAAGTGTATGAGAATATCGAGATGCCACGTCAACTTGCTATTTTGCTGTTAATTAGCGTTGTTTTGATCACCGTGATTCAGAAAACATGTATGTATGCCTCTAATATTTTTCTTTAACATAGAACGTTAAAAAATAATGTATCTTATTAGAACTTTTGATCGATTTAAAACCAATTTAGACTTGGTAAAATTTTTTGGTTACTATATGTTATTTTATATCTTATTAACTGTTAACATTCAGTATTTTGATAATTCAGTTAATGAAATTTTATGTAAATCCAATTCGCGACAAATTAAGTGAAAAGTATTCTTTTTTTGTTGGCGAATATAACTTCTTATTCTTAATAATACGCAGTATGTAGATACACTATTTCACATTTTTATGCAGTTGCAGAATGTGTTGAAGGTGACCATTATCTCGGCGGATGTAATCGTTGCTTTTGTTATGATGGTCATTACTATTGTACACCAATGCCTTTTTGTCGCTGAGGGAGAATGTAAAGTATGTAATTATAAGAATGTTGTAGTTTTATGTCATTATATTATATAATTTACACGCTGTCATATTACCAAGAAAAATTTTTTTTAATTGTAACGAAATTAATTTTCACACACATATAATTTTATGAAATTCAACTTATACACTGTTATCTGAACATTAAATATCAAGTAATAAGATATTTTGTCATTTTCAGCTATAATCTGAATACCAAAGACATTGGTTGCATAATTGATAAATATACTTTAATTATATACAGTAGGCTATGTAGTGGGGACATAGTGGAGACTTAAAAAAAATGTCTAAAACGTGAATCTTGAACTTTCTAATAAGAAAATGAAAGAAATGGAAATTTACAATTAGAAAAATATTAATAATAATATATATTTCTTCAATAAAATACATGAACATTTTTAATGAAAAATATCAACCACATGTGTATATATATATTGCAACGTTTAATTGCTCCTTCGTTAGTTTCTATTACTGGCAGATCGATTGATGTAGCAGTAAAATGCGGTTTCCACTACTCGCAGTCCTGCTGTCAAGAATAAGTCCGAATCGAGCCGAGGTAAGGAGCGATTAAAAACTGTAAACAATGTGGAGAAGGACAGTGCGTTTTTTTATATTTTATTTTATCTAGATTTCGTGTTTGTAGAAAAGTAGTTATGGTACATATCGAAATTTATCGCGGACTTCGAAGTTTTTACGTTATCTTTAATTGACCTCACAATTTTTATTATCTTTAATTACCCCTAATCCAGATAATAGCCTCATTATTTTTAACATTTTACTATTCCGCTTATGTACAATGATTATTACAAACGAATTGCATTACATGACGAGTGGTTGAAACAGAAGCTCCTAATTTTTTTTTCTTTAAAGCAACAGCGTCTATGTCGAAATGTTCGTTGTGCAACAGTAAAAATATCGAAATGTCACGTCAATTTGCTATTTTGCTGTTAATTACTATTATTTTGATCACCGTGATTCAGAAAACATGTATGTATGCCTTTATTTTTTTTAACATAAAATGCTAAAAGATGATCTTATCGGAAATTTTGATAGATTTGAAATCAATCCAGACATGGTACAATTTTTCGTTACCATGGATCATTTTTCATTTTACCTATACAGCATACTTTATCTGAGGAATGTCCTACACACATTTTAGGATATCGCAATAACTAGGATATCCTAAGATGATTTCAAATATCCATTAGATATCCAGCAGATGCACAAGAGTCTGCCTATGTGATATCCTACGGATATCTTAAATGACGTCCAAAGAATATTCAAGAAAGCTCAAGAAATAATCGTGAAATATATTATTATGTATCCAAGCACACAAACATATGTTATATGTCGTTCATTTTTTAGTTACTGGATGTCATTTGTATTAACGTATTTAATATTCGAATAATAGTATACTAGTATTCCCCAGTGAGAAATATCCCATTGAATCGATGTCAATTCGATGTACATTTCTCGCTGAATCAAAGTGTAAAAATTACATTATTACTAATAATATGATATATAGCAAAATAGTTGGATATTATAAGATTCCAATAAGAAGATCGTGAAATATCCTATTGGAATATCCCGTGCACCAGGATATCGGTGGGATCGCGTTTAGAAATCTGGGATAATTTGAAATATCCTCAGAATAAACTGTGCTGTGTAGGTATTAACTTTTAGCATTAAATATTTTGATAATTAAATGTCGCAATAGAATTCCACGAATATAATATTCTATTCTTAATCATGTATAACATATAGATATGTTTTATATTTTTATGCAGTTGCAAGGGAAATATGTGTACTCGGCGATCAATATATCAATGAACGCTGTTATTGCTTTTGTTTCGGTGGTAGATTCACTTGTAGACCTTTGTACTTGTTTAGTTGGAACCGGAAAGTTAACACATGTAATTATGTAAGAATGTTATAATTTTATGCTATTATATTATATATAATTTACACACTGACATATTATTGAGAAAAGTTCTTTTAACCATAACGAAATTGATTCTCATATAATTTAATAAAATATGTATTTATACCACTAACTGAACATTAAATATCAATTAATAAGATATTTTGTCATTTTCAGGTACTATAATCTGAATACCAAACCCACTGGCTATGTAATTAATAAATATACTTTAATTATATACAGTATGCTATACACAATATACACACTATGCCAAATATTGAGGACTTGAAATAAAATATCTAAAACGAGATTTTTGAACTTTAATAGGGTAATATATATCACAGAGTTCCTGTTTAATATATCATTTAATATAACAATGAGTGTGCTATATTTCATATTAGTCATTTTGTAGTTAGATTGCATTTAGTATCGAATATTTCTGTATTACTTCTATTACACGATCATATATAAGAGTTTTTGCATCGATTCCCCATAAGAAATCCGCATGATTGAAGAGTTCATACTGGACTTCTTCTAATAAGGCAACATTAGGCAAATGTTTTTGTAACTCCAATACATTCTGCAAAAAAAAGTAGACTTGAGAATCCTCTTCTAAAGTAAGGTAAATAATTATTTTTCGGTATCAATTATTTATCACAATCTGAACAATCAAATTTTATCGTCTTACATCGGTAAAAATTATATAATTTATATATAATTATATAATTTTGCCATCTTGACATTTTTTTTCTTATATTTCTTCCACTCGCATAAGATAAACGATCAGGAAAAGAGAAATCTTATTACCGTCTTCCTAACGACCAGATCGTTGGATGAGTAAAATAAAGCTATCGGCACGGTAACTTTACTGAGATCATAAGTTATAGGTGTTTTCTGCTTATAATGCTCGTAATTACCAACTGGACCATAGTCATAACTTTGAAAGTTTTCTGTAACATCACATAAAAATCGATATCGATTATATATTTACTATTATTATTATTTGTTAAGAGAGCGCTTATTGAGACTTAACAACGTGAATCTTTCGTTGTAATATTGTACGCTTGACAGATTATTATTATATGTTAGAAACGGAAGGAAATGCTTACTCGCATGTATATTTTGGTAATAGTGATAAAGTGTTTGAATAGAAGAACCAGCTGGAAAATGGGACAGCAGATATGGTAGTGCCGTCTACAAAAGAAAGAATTTATGCAACATAATAGAGAATCATCTAAAATATAATTAAGACGAAGATTATAATTAATATAAATCTTATATAGGTCTTTATATAGATCTTTCATATTAAACATTAACGATATTTTGTGTTACAAGAAAAAATATAAGAATATGAAAAAAAAAATGTTTGGACAAACGAAAAAGAAATAGTAAATAATATCACTAAAGTAAGTGAAATCTATTATGTATCTTTAAAAGCTCGTAAGTTCACAGATAGATGGGTTACGTTAAAAGATATGTCATTTTATCGGCGCGGGATCATACTATTGTCCGAAAAGTGGCAAAAGGTTGCTGATAGCAACGACTAATACTTTGATCAAAATATGATATGTCATCTTATTGTTATTAATAAAGAAAATGGCTTTAATATCATACGAACTTTTGCAAGCACGTAATAACTTACAGTGTTAAGTTGCGGCGGATCAGCACCTACGATTATAAAAATTACCGCAATGCAAATAGGTTGAGTAGCCGCCCCGTCTTGACATAAATTTTGTCCTATTGTGACCATTGCTGCAGATTGCGTAGCAAAATCATATATCTTATGTCTAGCGAAAAATTCCTGCGGAGCAATTGAAAAATATATAAATATTTATTTATAGCAAAATGTATTGGTGCATTAATTACAAAAACATGATAGTTCAATCATATTTTACTTTGTCTGTTTGGTGTTAGCGTTTAAAAATGATATACTTAGTATATTAGAAATAACCAAGTGAATCGCAAAAAACAGATTTTAGCGTTTACCCTCAATACTGGGGCTGCATCAATAATTTGCCTGAATATAGGCATTACTTCCTTCCAGAAGGCAACTGGGGCAAGGCAAACACCTAGTTGTATTTTTGCGTTATATTCCGGTTTCATTGATAGGAGAACGAACAACATTGTCGATCCCATCGAGTGAGCGACGTAATGTATTTTTTCTTGTCCAGTGTAATTAAGGATATAGTCGAACATAACTGGCAGGTCCATCAATGCCACTTCGTGAAAGCTGCACAGAAAGAAAGTGTTAAAGTTCCAGTAAATAATTATTCCAATATTCCTTAGCAAAGTTTTTTACATTTAAGATCAAAACAATTTTATTTAGATAAAATAAATATTGTTATTTGGATAATTTATTTGGAAATATATATTTTGTCTTCATCCAAGCGAACTTGGTCCAAACAAAATTGACTTAATCCAAATGAAAATTTGCTAAAGAAAATTTGATAAGGTTATTGGAGTAATTATTTACTTGAATCTAGCGTTTTTTTCTGTGTGAAATACAGAAATATCAAATCATATTATTGAATAAAATTATTAGAACTTTTTCTTTCAATACGATCTTCAACATAACGTTTTACCTAAATTGCCAAAATTTGCGGTCGTAAACTGTCATGTTTACGTGCGACCTGCCATAGCTGTTTCCTCTAATATTCCCAAGCCATACATCGTATCCTTGATCAGCCAATAAAAATGCTGCAACATCCAAATAAGCCGGTTCAAACATGGAATATATCAACTTATGCTAACTTATCCTTTCTAAAATTTAGAATTATTTTTCTCTCGTCGAAAATCTAAAGGGAAAATCCGATAATATCTTGATGTTTCGCCAGAAGAAAAACGTTGATTTATTAGGTAAGCTTTTCACGCTACGCCTCAAGTCGATTTATACATTTCAATGTAACGTTACAAAAGCATCATTTATTCTCGTTGTAGACACGCACCGAGGTCTTTGCCAGGGCCGAAAATCACCCAGCTGTCAGACGAAGCAAAAACACCATGTTGTAAAAACACAACGTCTTTTTTCTTTTTATTTCCCCATAGTGGACTCCCAGGTATCCTGTGTATTTGCAAATGGTAACCATCTTCCGTCGTAACGTTATGCTCCTCAGCGGGATAACCGTACTGCTCCACCATGCCGATCTGGAAGAAAGAATCTACGTAAGCATTGATATACGTATATATGATATTGTAATTTAAACTTTATACGAAAAAAAATAATTTTGCTGTTGTAGCTCTCATTACTACTGCATATTCATTACCACAATAATAAAATTTAATAATTAACATAACTAATTTAGCGAATTATTCATAATTAGAGCAGAAACAGTTATGTTGCCAAGATAGAAAATATTCTGCTGAATGAATTTGTCTTTAGAACACGTTAATTTGCTGCTAGCACAAAATAGTTTCCTAAATTTATTAATTTGTGCTTAAAGCAAAATAATTTGTAGATTCAACGAAATAATCCAATAAATGGTAATTTATATTCTTTTACAGTTAGCAATTGATACAAATCGTTTTGCTGTCTACATAGATAGCTAATAGATTTTGCTGCGACAGCATAAAATTTATTATGCCAACAAATTATGTTTCTCCATATATTTTCGCCCCAAATTGTCAGAAGATATTCACATAGGATTTTCGAAGAATGTCTCATTGAAAATTGACTAGAAAAATGCAACTGTAAGCCAATTCTCTAACTTTCAACAACGCGTCGTTATCGTTACGGTGTCGTTGCGCAACTTTTCCGCCATATGTTATGCCTGCGTAACGACACTATAATGAAACTATAACGACAATGACATTGGCGTTAAAAGTTAGAAGATCGGCCTATTGATGTGCAACGAGCATGTAGATGCAGACGACGATTAGTTTTAGTTCAGTGACTAAATTTCTTGTGCATACTTTTTCTTGTCCGACTGTACATTATTTTGATATTATGGCGATTACATAATGACGAATCCATTTGAAAGAACAAAGGTCTCTCACAATAGAGCGACAGCGAGAAACGGAAACTGAGAGACAGAGCTGACAACGAAAAATTGAAGTGCTAGGCACGTGTAATAATTTGCACCTGAGCGTGTCATCTCAAGGATTGCGTATCTACTGTTTCCGCCAACTTTTCTGAGACTTAGAAATCATTCCGTGTTGTTTGCCATTTTACGTCTACAATGACTATACGGAGTCGATTCAATCAAAGGGAAATATATATAATTTTTAAGGTTCGGAAGAAACCGGGTTTTTTTTCAATTTTTTCCGTGGATTTTTTCGATTTCTTGCTTTCTCTACGGGAAAAAATAAAAAGAATGAATGTGATAAGTTTTAACCGAACACACGTGAATGTTTCTACAAGAATTTTTCTATCCTTGGGACAGAAATCCACGGAGAAATTGGAAAAAACCAGGTATTTTCCGAGCTTTCAAATATAGAAATATGTCTTTGACTGTAAATTCTGCTTGCTCAGAGACGCACGGAGAAAAATATTTTGCTGGCATAGCAAATTGTTAGTTATCATAAGGACAGCAACAAAATTTGTTTGGACGGTAAAAAAATTTGTTAAGAGTATTCATTGATTGATATATATATATATATTCACCTGTATATCCAGAACATGTAAAGAGAGCAAAATAATTTGGTTATGTCAACTAAACTTTATCGCACGTTTTGTTGAAACTGCAAAATTAAACTGTCGCACGTTTTGTTGAAACTGCAAAATTATTTTTTTGCAACAAATCTTTTTGTTGTTCCCATAGTAACTAACGATTTGCTGTACGAGCAAAATAATGTTTTTCCGTGCAGTTTCGTCGTACTTACAAAATCCAATACTATCGCACCTCCCATCCCTCTAGCTTGATCCATACTTCTTACTCTCACTATACCAGGATCTTTAGGGAAGATATAATCCAGGAACACTTGTTGAAGGAACGTCAGATTGAACCCCAACTGCGATTCTCCTTCCGTGAGCATCGTAATTGTTATGAACGCGAAGAAAATGTTTCGCACGTTCGATACCATGACGACTGATTTATAATTCCAAATTACACAATGAACCGCTGAAGAATGATTCCTCGGATGCTGGCGACGTTACTTAAAATACTCTTGATACGGCATTATCCTTCTTTACATTTCGGTGCAGCCTGCAGTGAAAAATAATGATGAGGAAAGTGTGTAGAAGCAAGCACTCCAAAGTGTGTGCCATTTCCTTAACGATATCGTGCTGCCTTAACGATATTGTGGACTGCATAGTAGATGCGCGAATACCGATAAATACTCCGTGACGTGTCACATACTTACGTTACCGTGCGCAAGTGTCTTTGAAATGATAAAATATTCTTTTACGACGAAGCAACATACACGGTTTCGTATTGTTCGCGGTGGAGCGTCGTTACGGTGCTCAAGAAAGTATAATATTTATTTAGGTTTAGTAAATATAATTCTTGCTGAACCCATGACTACGCTTTAATTTGAGAAACGACGAACAAGAGATACCAGAAATGCGTAGCTTCTTTACGGACTGTTTTATAAATAAAATCAACATATAGTTAGAATAGTATTACTATTAGAATAGTATTACTAATAAGTAATGCCTTGAGTTTTAACATATGCATAAGTAATTAATATAATTGACTATTTACGCTCGTAACTTATTTAGTTGTTGCATAAGGAATATTGATATCAATCAAATAAATTATACAGGGTGATCTGGAATGACTTCTTGTCATTGAACTGTCATATTCCTAAACGAATTTTAGACTTCTTTTCTTGCAAAATGTTATCCGAAACTTAGTTTTTTAAGTTATAAAGACAGATAATTTGGCTATTACGATTTGGCTATAAAAAAGGAGGCAGAACAATTCGCCGTCAGATGCAGGTGCTAATATCGGACACCTGATGCGATGAGCTGATCATTCGACACTTCGGTTTGCTTTCAAAACCACAGTATTAGCAAGGCTCAGTGAATTAAAGACAACTGCACGAAGCCGATCGGTGATGTACGCGAACGAGACCGATTAGAAATTGTAAGAAAGACTATATAAGAAAGACTATAAATAGCGAATTATCCGATTTATTGCAAGACGCGAATAAACCTCGTCCTTAACCTTTGTTTTTTTTCATTTTGTCTGCTATGAGGAGAAAAGAACATTTATAACTCGCGATCGAACCGAGTGTAAAATTCTAAAAACTGATTAATGTTATGAGAACAAGGACGCGCTAACAAGTCATAAAAGTTGTCATACTCAAGGTAAATAATCCTTACAAAGGAATATAAACATGTCGGTTCTTTTGAAAGTAGGAATATTTTATGTCTTTCAAAATGTGATTAATAGTCTTCCCTGCTTGTATTTTCAAAGTCTACTTTCCAGTTAGAAAAAACTTGCATAATCAAATATTTTATCTTTAAATGTTTCGTTATAATCATATTTTGTTAATTGAAAACATTTTATTCACTATTACACACGATCATTAACGGAAGTTTTAAAAATAATGTGTATGAATATTACTATATACATCGGTCAGCTCATTACATCAGACGTCCAATGTCAGTGCCTGCGTCTGATAGTGAATTGTGCCGCTCTCGTCTACCTCTGTGACATTCGTCTTAGAATTCGTTCAAGAACATAACATTTCCAAAACAGAAAGTTGTTCTGGATCATCCTGTATATAATGATTGAAGAAATGCTGTTATATTTTCCTAAGAATAAAAAACTGCTGTGTGCTTTTTTTCCAAATTAAGATGGTAGATTTCTCATTTCATATTTTGAATATATTAAGCAGTATGATGTGTTTGATGCTTATGTGGTTGTCATTGAAGGCTACTTAATATTCGAAAATCTTGTATGATATAACGTCAATAAATTAGAATAACCATATCCTCAAAACAGTTTGCACAATCATATTTGTTAGGATTGGTTTCTTAATTCTGATTTATAAAGCATAGTTAAATTCTGCATAAATCTCTGGACATTTCATTTATGATAAAAATTCCAAATAAAGGTTTTATTAAAAGTTCTAAGACGGAACTTCTTTTATGTTTTTTATTAAATAATCGATTTCGTAAAAGCATATTTTAATGTGTACTTACCGATATATTTTTTATCTTCAATTATACGCGTTAAATACTCAAGTTGAGGAAAGTAAAGAAAATTAAACAGACACGTCTTTTTTTCACGTTTTACGGTTGATTTAATAGTGATTCGCGTATCTTCCTCTAATGTCTTCCCTAAAAAATGATTCACTATCCAACGGTAGAGTTTATATGAAACTACCGAGAAAGATCGGCTCAGCTCCCTGAAATATATACTCAGCAATGCAGTGACGGAACATGGATTTTTCGGCCTCCAGCTAAGCTAGCTATTTGTCTCACTCCTTTTTTCTTTCAATATAAAATAATGTAAACTCTTATGAGTTTTAAAGATTAATTTTTGCATTAAGACGTTATATGTGGACATGTAAATTATAAAAACAAAATTGTCATATTGTGTGAAAATAAGTCAGATCAAGAATTTCTTTTGATATGTTGAAAAAATGTAAAAATATCACGCCTTATAAAGTTAAGCTTTCATCATATTCCATCTAATTAAAAAAATTGATTATTTTTTGGTTTTATCAAAGAATTATATGCAGGATTTTTATGTTCCTTTCAAATCTATTTTTTATTTCAGCACAGGATCCTACAATTGATAGTTCTGCTACTGTGTTCCGTACAAATTGAAGAAATAATAATGGCTTCAATCGTCAAGGATACATCTTGATATTTGAACTTCAACCATTTCGCTTTTATCCTTCAATAGTTTCCACTTTTCCGCTTTGTAGGAAAGGTCAACAACTTTCATTAAATGTGAAGAACTTGAACTCCATTGCTACCTCACTGAGAATAATTAATTTCTCGAGTGTTATTAATGCATTATGTATGAAAAACAAAATGTCTATCAATGTTACACACTTGTAATGTCTGCGATTAAAACAAGTATGATGGTTTTTATTGTTACCGTTTAAAAGAAACTCGATATTTAAACTATTCTAAAAGTTACCAAATCAAATTAAAAATCAAAATTTACCATGGTTTAACGTTCTTGTTAATTTGCTATTTTCTATTATTATTATAGTGCGTTCATCATCCGAAATTTGAAAATTAGGTGAAACTAAGGATTCGAATTTAAAAACTCAAAAAACGTCCTGAAAACAATTTCAAAAAAGAATTTCATCGAAGATGCTTTTTTCTCTACATGTTGTAATGCTCAATAAAATGTCAATAAAAAATTTGAAGCTCGACAATAATGGCATTTCATACGTTTAACTCACACTTTTTATGCTGCTATATATTTTATATTATATATTTTATGCTACTATATATTTTAAACGAGACTCGAACAATAATTGATTTTTATTGATTTTTATTGAAACAGTGTATAATAACTACGTCCTAAAAAGATTCAGGAGATCTCCTTTATTCTGCACTTATTGCCAAAATCTCATAACATAATAAAAAAAATCGAGAATTCATCATTGAAATTATCCAATTAACTTGCCTTTAATTTTTCTACTCTGTACTTTTATTAGAATTCCTCATGCGTAAACGCATGCATTTCGGTTCTCAAAGAGGAGATTCGTAATTTAGAGATACATATATAAGATATTTATTCAACCATGGGCCAAAACAACATCCGCGTTATGAAAGAGAAACATTCATGTATGTCCTTGGATCGTAAGTAATTCGTATAACAAACTTATCCCGCTGTTTTGCGCGGCCTTGATGTATCGTCGGATATATCAATAGGATTTTTTTCAAAATATTTCGACATGTTTCTCTTCTGCTTTATCTCATCGCCTATAAATTTTATCTCTCGCACATTTTCTGCACATCAAATATATAAATGTACAGCTTGTACCCTGAATATATTCAAATATAAATTGTTAATAAGCTCCCTTTCTCTACGAAATAGCGCGATGTTTGAAAACTTATTTTAAGACTCATTTGACATTTCATTCGTATGAATCATTTTGCTGGTACAAATAACCGTGCTGTCGTTACATTTTCTTTTTTTTTTTCATATTATCGTGATTGACAAAGTTCTTATTCTAATGTAACTCCACCGCAATTACGTCGGTAAGAAAGTACTCCGCGCAGTAGCACGGTTAATTTCATATACGTTCTTGTAACGTATATAATACGATTACGAAACGTTACAGATGTTTAAAGAACGTATGAAACTAACATAATATGCATCTGGGTGCATTCACAGCTAGAGGGAATGTTTTCACATAGAATATATAATGCGCTAACTGAAATTATTAAATATCCACGGCAAACTGTGCATTAACAATTTAATAAAACATACAAAGTAACTTATCTCGCTCATTTATAGTACGTGTGATATAAAAATGATTAATTTGACATTTATCTCTGATAAAAAATTCCATTTATCGGGCTCGCTTTTAAAAAGCCGCTATCTGTTATCTATTAATCGCTTACGTACAATTTTTTCCGCGTATATATAAAGAATATAATATATATATATATATTTAAGAAATATTGATTTATCTTATCGAAGTTTCATTCTATTTATAGAGAGTCAAGTAATGGCGCTAATGTCGATTGTACATCCGCGCGGCGGCGTCAACGTCGCGATGGGTGTAGGCGAGGTCACACACACTGTCGGCTGTCTCTCTCTCTCTTTCTCTCTCGTGCTAATCATGTGACCCGCGCTCATCACCACGTGACTCGCGCTCGCGCACTCGTGACCAGTCGGATCGATTGTTGCTCGTCCGTCACGATTTCCGCAGTTCCAGACAGTGGCGGTTCCAAGAGGACTACGAGGCGATTGAGTGTCAAGACGGATCGCGACCTTCGGACCAGCTCTGATGCTCATCGAGTAACCGGTTTTAACGTATCACCGACACGCGATCCCCAGCTCCGAAAATGGGTTCGCTCTTCCGCAGTGAGGAGATGACCTTGTGTCAGTTGTTCCTTCAAAGTGAGGCCGCTTACGCCTGTGTCTCCGAGCTCGGCGAGCTCGGTCTCGTACAGTTTCGTGATGTAAGTCCCGTAGTTTTCCTTATTCCGTCTAATTTGGACTCTTCGCTATACTGATCCTCTTGTCATCCTTCATTGGCGTTGGTTAAAATTATCGATGATCTTTACACATAAATGTAGTATACAGCCACATTATCCTGCAACTATTTAATGAGCTGTAAAAAACACAAATGCATTGCAAATAGACCTTGCACATTGTTACGAGAACGTCATTGTGTATCTGTGCTAGTGTCAATGATCATTCTCTCCGTCATTCTTATGCTAATGCATTCAATACGTTGCAGTTGAATCCTGATGTTAACGCCTTTCAACGTAAATTCGTGAATGAGGTACGTCGTTGCGATGAGATGGAGCGCAAACTGCGCTACCTTGAGAAGGAGATCAAGAAGGATGGGATCCCGATGTTGGACACCGGTGAAAATCCAGAGGCGCCGCAGCCCCGAGAGATGATCGACTTGGAGGCAACTTTTGAGAAATTGGAGAATGAACTCCGGGAAGTGAATCAGAACGCGGAAGCGCTCAAACGTAACTTCCTCGAGCTGACTGAGTTGAAGCATATCTTGCGAAAGACTCAAGTCTTCTTCGACGAGGTAAGTCACCATCCACAGATGTGAATCTTTACTTTATCAATTAAGGACTCTAGCATAAGCACCAGATGAGTCTTTCTCAAGCAAACTGTCGAGAGCAATTTTGAGGTTTTTTTTTTTATTTTTACCCAAGAGGGAATAATGAAAATTGCTACTTATTAAGCTGTTAATAGAATTGCAAAATTGGTTGGGCTTTTTTCTTTATCCGAGGAATGTACGATTTGAATGTTGATCTTGTGAAGGGGAACCTTAATGATTTATAGAACAGCCTGTAAATATCAGCAATATAATGGTCGGTTGTCTTGAGTGTCGAGTCGATGAACATATAAGAATTGTTTCCTACCAATTGGATACTTTGCTATAAAACGCATTTAGCTAAAAGGCATTCTGCTGTGTTCGCTATTGTTAGATTTATGTACAAAGAAAGATGTACAAGAGATCGTATTGTGAAATTTAATGTCGCAACTTACAGCCTCGCATTTGTTTGGCCTACATTTCCGTTTAAATTGATTAACGTGTAAATTGAGCGATTTTTTTACTATACAATAGCAATTGGATGTTGTAATATATGCTTTAGTGTGGAAAATTTTATTACCTCAATGGGATTTCTCTTGTAAGCTGGCTTAACGCATATTTTCAAGCTCTTAATGTATGATGCAGCATTAGTACGCAATCAGCTCATCTTTTTAGAAACATGGAGGAAATTTCACGAGAAAATTCCGTTGAGGTAGCGATTATGCGGTCTTCTATAAAATAAGAAAATTGTGTTGTTAATTGAATCGAAGGATAAGTATAACTGAGCTAGAGAGAGAAAGAGAGAGAGAAAGAGAGAGAGAATGAGAAAGAAAGGGAGAGAGAGAGAGAGAGAGAGAGAGAAAGCAATGAATTTGCAAGCTGCCGGATTTTCTCTGATGCATGAAAGGCTGGAGATTATGCGAATTAGATATATTTGAAGGTCCTGTCTCTCTTGGTGCGCTTGTGCAAGTCTAAGCGAATGCAGCGGAGCTACTTAGAGGGGAACAAGATGAGATGAAACTGACAGATTGACAGTTTAGATTTCCATTCCGATGAGCTGTCAGGCATCGAATGTTCTCATTGTGTGTTACTAATCATATTGTTGAGTGATTTTAGGATTATTAATGTGTTAGTGTTGCCAACTAACCAAAAGCCAGTATCGCAACGGACACAAGTCACACTCGCTACGCCCTATCTCCCTTTACGTCCTTTGACAATTGTCCGGTCGCGATTTCCGTATGAGATCACTGTTACGATTTCAAAGTGGTATTGTCAATGTTATTACACATTGTGTTTAGCCTTGAAGAATTTTTTTATTTTTTTGAGAGAGATCACACAGTGTGTATTATTACCAGTATTTGTACCCCGTAATTGCATCAGCAGTGTCTCCCACACCTGCATACAAATTGTGAGAATCGTTTCAGATTATATAGTCTTTAAATGTGTTTGGTTTCTTGTTAAGTCTGCTAATATATATCAATATATCAATAAGATGACGAGATTAATTCTTTTGTAATACGATTTCTTTGTTTAGAACTGCAAATCTCGTTGTTTTACAGGCAGACAAAAAATTGAGATAATTATCCGATCGTTAAGAGCACATTGATGTGTAGAAAGAATATCCCTTGTAAAACAGCTTCATTTAATATTATAGTCTGAATTGTAGCGTAATATTTAATATACTTCGATATTCTATTGTTTAATTTTCCACTATCGTAAAAACTTTTCTTGTTAATATTGCAGTTATTTATTTTTCTCGTTTTTATCTGTTCCTTCCATTTTATTCCATTGTTAACCATTTTACTTGTCTCCCTTTTGCATAAATACATATAGAGGTGTATCGTAATTTTTAAGAAACATGCATGTTTAGAAACATGAGTCGCAATTAATTAATTTGTTTAATGAGGTTTATATGCAAACAAATATTATATATCGGCTAATTATGCAATAGAAAATAATATTACAATATTTATCGTTAGCAATAACTATTTAAACGCATCAAGTCACTGATTTTCTCAGAATTTTTACGAGCAGATAACAACCGAGTCCAGTAGCAAATAACAGCAGTATTTTGCGAAATAATAAATGTAGCAAAAAAATAAGGCGCAATGTTATTATTATTGGAAGTAACGTAACATTATTGTAAGATCATCGTAAGATCATTACAATCATAGTAGAGAGTCTCATGTAGCTAGCTAGCTGTACTCGTAGTGGGAAGCATGAAGCCTTGGAATTGATAACAATGATCAATCAATGGCAATATGCATGAATTGTACTAACGTTTGCAACTTTTTACGTAAATGTGTTAAAAATTATTTAGAAGAATATGCATTGTACATTTAATTCTTTGAAGGCTGTTGCTGCGCTTTTCGATTTATATTTTATATGGAATATTGCAGTCCAATGATTCAAAATGTTTTGGATTCTTTATAATTCTGTTAGGTTTAGCGTAATCCATATAATTAATATTTATTACATTAAAAGATTAAAATCGGCGCATATAATCTGCAAAATGCTGCAAATATAGATAATTACCTGAGAAAATAAATTATACCGTGTAATTTTTTTTTTTCTTGGTTTTGCTGGCCGGATAAATTTTAAATATTTACAATTCAAGTTTAATATGATTTAATGGATTTTAAGAAAAACATAATTTGGGAAAATAATGATGGCCTTTATTGAATTAATAAACGAAACTATTTGCATGAAGCATGTATAGCAAAACTGTAAAACATCTATATGCAATATATAATATTTTCTCTTGTTATATATTATTAATTTATCTATATAACTTATATATATATAGTATATTTAATATATTATACATAATTAGAATAGAATTGCTATATCTTAATAGCTAATAGCGATATTTTAGCTATCATTTGTAGATTCGAAAAAGTTTGCATGAATGTTGTATTATTCGTGATGTTTACGTACAAATAAATACTTGACTCTTTGGATTTTACCTATTGACTTCAACAATTCAGTTTTCAGCCTGAGTCAATATTTGCATTCCAAAGACATAAGATATTTCAAAAAGTAAAGTTTTCTCGGTACATTTATTCTCTTAGCATTACCGTTAAGCATCACGAATTTAAGCTTATATATAGTTTAGACATTGAAAAAATTCTTGTCGCGAGTTCAAGAAGAAACAACTTCTTCGAATCGGTGAGTTAAAACAATTTCGGAACAGAAAGAAAGAGAAAGAGAGTCTGAAATGAATGAGTGGAACGGGAGATAGGGCGAAAGAGGGGTGACCTGTGTCTGTTGCCAGGCTGAGCACGGAGGTGTCGTGTCGCAGATGGCAGATCCCAGCCGTGAGGAAGAACAAGTCACTCTGTTGGGTGAGGAGGGCCTCCGCGCCGGCGGCCAGGCTCTCAAGCTCGGGTAATTAATGTGTGGCGTATGTCCAACTAATGCAGAGCGTGGCGACTCACGAAAATCTCCCGAAAATGAAAGAATAATTTGATCAGTTGGTCCCAAGAAATGTGCAATCCAATTCAGATAGATAAATCAGAAGTTTACAAACGTGTATCAATGTTTCAATCTATGATTTAAAGATTTTAGTTTTATCAGGATTTTCTTGGCACTACAGAATTTCAATTGGATATCAATACTCTTCTGAAAAGTTTAATTTGATGTAGAAAGCCTTTAGCTTTCATATTTGTCAATGATTATTCAGTGGAGGAAACGAAATCACATACATGATATTTTTATACACGATATACTTCTATGGTTTATCTATTTGAGTTGAAAGGTTATACGCTTATAGTTTACTCTTAATCAAATTTTATTCTTGAAATCTTAGTCAAACGTTTTCTTCTATTCTTTAATGCTAGTTTCAAGAATTATTCGTCTCAATATTATTCGCAATAAAAATTATAACCATAATTTTATATATCTCTCTTTGAGAAAACATCTAAAAATTGTTTTTCCTACTTTGAGATTTTTCGATATATTTAGCATTATTATATAATTTGGATTTACACTTTATTATCGAATACATATTTATATTTTAATTTATTGGATACTTGATCATTTCATTTTTCTATACCTTAGATTTTTTTAAGATTCTAAAATTTTTGTAAGATTCTAAAGATATTTAAATCCTCGATCTGATTAAATCCCGCAATTCCGGGTCTCCACGCTCTGCATTTCAATCTCTACGTGACCGGGAATCATCCCCGATACATCGTCGCATGCCCATAGTTTGTGTTGCAGATTTGCACCTGATGCACTGCTGCACCTCACAATGGTGCTCGGTCACTAATATTGATTCTCGGATTACTGACTAAAATTACTGATACGAAAATCCAGAGAATCTCCTTTAACAAATATATATTTATATATTTCCCTTTTGCTATTTTTACATAGCTTTTACATTATTGAGCTATTATTTATTATTCACATATATATTTTTATTATCTCATACATTTTAATATCTTTGAACATATTTAATAGTTTTTCATATGTTGTTTAAACTATAAATATTGTATCTCAACTATGACTATTAAATATCGAACATGAATTGTTTTATTAGTCGGTAATCCGAAAATTGAGAATAATTCAGGAAATGTGCAGCCAAATAAACGAAACCACCCGGCGAATATTCTTATATGTACTTTCGAACGTAATTTTGGAGTAGGATAAAAATATGCATGGAAATGGAAAGAAACCGGACATTTTTAACACGATCTTTATTACATTTGTAATATAAATTTCTATTACATTTGAGATATATAAGTTTTCTTTTACATAAGTTTCTTGTAGCATTATTAGAACACGGTAAACTACAAGTTAGAATTAACTAAACCTATAAAATTGGGATTGTGTCAAAAAATTTATTTTCTCATATTTAGCTATTTAAACAATTTTTAATTGTTGTGCCTCTCCAATTTTTTCTAAAATCCAAGATATTTGAGATTTTTTCTTTAAATTCCGTGACTCAATTTAAATTCTTTAATGGAATAAAATGTCTGTACAGAAACTGAAACAAGTGTAATGAAAATATATCCAAGCAGGGAAAATGCGGCACCGTAAAATTTTCCAGTGAATTAATAATTATCATTTCTGAGTTAATCAAGTATTGTTTACTATGTTACTTAAGAATATAATAGCAATGATAACAAGTTGTTTGATCAGTTACACAAATTTTCTTATTACAAAAATATGTATATATCACTTGATATTACGATAAGATGTATCATAAAAAAATCGCAGTGTCACAATTGCCCTGGTCGCTCTTAAGTGTTAGAAGCTCGGTTCCAATTCTATTCCGAGATAAACCAAAAGTGTACGTAAAGCTCTTTGTGCGGATACAGGGTGTTCGAATGAAAGATCGATTAAGTTGAAAAATTGGTCGAGGAATACTTGGTTGAATTTTCGAAAAGTCCTTTGTTTCCCTCCGACGCCCCGTATATATCTTGTAGTTCAGTACGTTGAAGGCTAGATCCGATGTAGAGGCACCCTACGTCAGTGTATTCTATGGTTACAGCACCTGTACACTGCGGCAGACACCGTAGGAGCACATTATAGGAGCCCGCTCAGGCAAGCTGTTATCAACCGTTATTTGCGAATCTGTTTGCAAATCTGTTTGCCTCGATGTTGTTGCCTGTGTCTCCAAGAATCCATCGCTCAAAAAAACAGAGTCGCACCCTGCGTTGCTGGAGCATTCCCCTTTAATGCCGCTGTGAAGATATCCGCTTCTTTATCGCGCGATAAGAGTCCTTTCTTTCTTGTAATATCTCGTTTAATCGAGAGGAGAACTTAAGCTTTTTTATATTTTTAGGTTTTCGCTTTATGACCGCATCAGTTCTTACATCTATACCAAACTCGTCTCATACTCTTGCTATTTTAACATATTGGATTCTCGGAGTCCTAAATTTTCCATTTTTTCATACCTCCAGGATCTTTATTTCTTGTTGACTTTTTAAAAATATGCAAATTCATCGGCTCTTAGATTCTTGAATTTTTACATAGCGCTTCTCCCTCCGTGCCACTTATCAATCTTTGAGTTTAAGTCCTTCGGGTTTAATTGGAAACTTCTTTCCTCGAATATCCAAGTCTAGTCACCTTCACATCATTTCCACAGCATTCGCAGAGAGCGTTTATCTTATTCTTCTGAATCTGGTCTTACCGGAAGTTCATTCTTAGGCTCTTTATTCCCCTGTTTTCAGGGATGCTTCAGCAATCGAGGTATGCTCCACAAAGACAAACGCGACTGTTTGCTTTTACAAATAACCGTCCGACGTTCACTGATCGATTGTGCAAAACTAGGCTGTCATTCACTTTTTGTTGCAATACACGATATCGATAGAGAGAAAAAGTAAAAGGAAATGAGAAGGAAAAGCAAAAGAAAAGAGCAAGAATCGGCGAAAAAATGCGCCGACCAATAACAGTTGATACAGTTTGACGTCACCTGTTTTTAACACCGTCCGAGCAGAGAAGTTCAAACTGTATCGAGTACGTTCGATCGACGACGAAAACGGTCGAGATCCACTCGCTTTTTAGTTCGACACTCGCGCGACAAAATTGTTGCAATAATTCTCACTCGTAGTGACAGAACGTTGTAAATAACAATAAATGATGATGGTGTGGCCATGGGTATGTATAACAATGTCCTTCCTCCTTAACAAAGGACTGTCTATATGTGTTTTAAGTGTGCCGCTTGCTCGCATGCCCTCGCACTCGTTTTTATCCTTCGTTACATTAATCAGAATCAGTGTGGGTTATTGGATCGTTAAAGAAAACTATATATTGGATTTTATTTTAGGATCCATTGATTCCTTTTTTTTCAGATCTCGGAAATTCGACGGAATGAGATACGGCTTGGATACCGGAATAGTTTAAGAATTCGAAATTCTGTTTAATCTCGAGGAAGAAAAGGAAAAACGGAAAAACCAACAAAACCCCTTTAACGATCTAACAGCTTGGCTTGTGTCGCGCTTCATTTAAATAAGTTGCGCCTGTTTCTTATTTCGCATCGTCTGCCAATGATGATCTTAATCCCATCAGTTTCCGATCGACTATAGAAACATTGTCGAAAGAGAATTCTGATATGATTCTCCGATCGAATATCCTTTCGAGCAAACCCTTACTCTGTTGTATTGAAAATTACCGGACGACATAATAATGGCTTATCAAATTTTTTCAGATTTTTTGATAAATAAGAATTGCCATATACCTCTTTGGTCTATCTTAACAATCTCGCTGTTGTTCAAAATCTCTTGGGCACGACCGCGCACGATTAGTAAAAATTTTTTTAAATTGCATTTTCATGTAAACCCATTATATATATATATATATTTTTTTTGTTTTTATTATTTTATCTATATTATAAAAAATTATTAAATTAAAAAAAAGAGGTCTTTGTTTTCTTATCTGTTACGTTGTGTAAACATTTGTCTTTTTTACTTTCGAATTATTTTAGGAATATTGATCTCTACATACTGTATAATTATATATTTATTATAATGATTTTTTTGATAACATAAAAATACTTTTCTCACATTGAAGTTAAAATCTAGATTGCATAAGCATCATTCTCGGTTGTGCCGTTGACTTGCCGCTAACTTTCGCTCAACGATCATGTAACTTTTATTATCGTTATCACACACACTTACGGTCTGGCAATTCATATTTAACCCAACGAATTAAACGAACTTGAAATATCTTGGTGTTATAAGTTGCATTTGTGTGTGTGTGTGTGTGTGTGTGTGTGTGTGTGTGTGTGTGTGTGTGTGTGTGTGTGTGTGTGTGTGTGTTCTGTTTCTGAAACTGCATTTTATAATCCAAAATTTAAATTCCACTTCAAGGAGCAAAATATGATATTAAACGGGATATCTGAGAATAAAGAAATCAAAAGGATCCAAGGAAATTAAACATTTCAGACAATTCTGAAAATTTAAGATACAAATTATCGTCTTATTTTTGTAAAATTTGCTAGTTATCGTACAATTGTTCGAGCTCAGTGATCAATTCTACTATCATATTTTTATTTACAGCAGATTCATCATGTATGTTACTACATATGTGGAAAATAATATGATGTTACAATTATCCTAAATGCAAAACGTGTATCGTTGCGAGATATTTCAAGTTCGCCCAAGTAGCCCGAAAATAACGAGACGAGAGGCAAAATCCGAAAGTGCAAACAAGAGGACAGAGTTGTTGGAGCATTGTGATCGTGTCTAGTGTGGCTAATGTGGTTGTGTCTTGTCTGTTGTGTCGTCAGCAAGAGCACGCGGGCTTGAACCCCACCGAGTCCATGACACGCGCGTTGATTAGCGATGATAATATCGCCCGCCAGTCCGCCCTTGGTCCTGTCCAGTTGGGGTACGTACTCCCATTACTCTAGTTAATCCTTCCATCCTGTTGTGCAAGGTCCCAGGAATCCGAAGAGTCGAACGAAAGGTTCCACGATGAGGGTCCACGAGGCCGACGATCATTTCTCACCTGAAACAATCCGAGGACGTGGCGACGCGAGAAACCGCGAGCAAATCCAAGTCCCTGTTTGAGAAACTTAGACTTTCGCGAAACTACGATTCCCAGTAATTCCTTGATCTCCGATGAATTTCAAATTTTCTGGAAAGTTTAATTTTTCTCTTTTTAATTGCGGAACTGTAGACCTTTTAATTAGATAGGGACGTGTCTTGCGTTAGCGTAAATTCTCGCGACGTTAAATCCTCGGAGTTTCTGGCACTCTGGAATCTCCGACGCTTTGGACACTTGGAATCTTACGCCCTTTCAGTATCTTAGTTCCTTAGAATCCTAGATCTTTGGAACTTTGGATTTCTGGTACGAATTCTTAGAGGTTCGGACCCTCGAGTTTTGGGGAAACGCTTCGAAAAATGTGGTACTCTGATACACTAGATCTAAAATTCGAAGGTTCGCACATCCACACCACGTTTGACCTTAAATGTGGCTATTTTGCGTACATGATATTACGTGGGACTGAGAGTCGGACAGTGACACATCGAGGAATCTATAAAAAGTGCCCCGATATCCGGATCTTTAGAGATCTCGAAACTTGGTGCACTGAACAAAACACACATACACGATATAAAAATTGATAAGGGCTTACCGCAAATGTTACCCACATACACGCAGTAAAAGATTTATCAAGTCGTTGTATGTAGAATTACCCCCGTTTCCTCTTCATGTATAATTATTTACAATTTCAAATAGCATATGTTGAAATAATTACAGAATTTCATTTTGTATTAACAAATTAATAATAGCATGTAATCAAGCAGCGATTCGATAAACATTGTTAAGATGATAAGTACATGTCGGTTATTTCACAGAGGAAATTTCTCAAGAAATAGTGCTTATACATCCGCGTACTTTCATGCTTGCATCTTACGGGTATTCGAGCGGCACAAACTGCACGTTCCGAGTTGAAAAGTGAAATAAAGTTGAAAGGTGCGATAAAGTTAACAAACTTGATAAGACGTGCAATTCTGCATATAACGAACTGATAAAGACAAGACAAATCCCCCATGGCACTTTGCATAATTATGATCCGACGTACGATGACACACCCCGACAAAGCCCGGTTTGTTCCTGTGACACACGTATGCTGTTTGTTGGAGTTTGTCGTTGAAAGGGTGTCTCGAGGATCCGTAGGATCGTTGACAGAAGTGTTTTGAGGTATGTAAGAAAGAAAAAAGGAGAAAGAGAAAAGAACATGAAAGAGAAGGACCATGGCTACAGAAATCATCATTTCCCAATTGGCTAGCTATTCTACGGCAAATCCGCACGAGTCGTTGACCGATACAGATTGAAAGCTTCGCTATACATATATTGTCGTAACGCGATCACCACGATGCTTCACTTGAATCACCGCAAGGACAATGATCGTGATCGTGGAGAGTCCCTCACAAACCCAGTTTGCGTTAACGCACATACCCGCCGATAGACACCCTAGGTATCCGATCTTCGTTTGCCATTATTGTCCATTAATATGATGTTTTATGTCATCACGCGAACAGCTTCGTCGCGGGAGTTATTCTGAGGGAACGCATCCCTGCGTTCGAGCGCATGCTGTGGCGTGCGTGCCGTGGAAATGTCTTTCTGCGTCAGGCGGAGATCGAGACTCCTTTGGAGGATCCTTCGACGGTGAGTAATCGCAGCGGCGATACAAGAATCTAAAGAATCCCGAGAACGCGAACGTTTGTGACTTAATCGTAGAGTTCGAGAACAACGTAACCCCATGATTTCATATTCAAGACTGTAAATGGACCTTATATAATTTATTTATTCATTATAATTTATTCATTCAATTAACAGGAATAAGATCGTTAGGTGTTGTGCAGATTTAAGGATGGAGAAAATTATACAAGATTATTTCAATGTATAGAGTCGAATTGCATGTAAGAAGGGCATGAAAAATTTTCTATCCAATTATGAATTTAAGTCACACACGAGAATCTCTACGAAATTGTAAGCGTTTAGCAGCTTAGGATCATTAATTGGACGATAATGAATTTAGGGGGACCAAGTGTACAAGTCAGTCTTCATCATTTTCTTCCAAGGCGATCAGCTGAAAACTCGCGTGAAGAAGATCTGCGAGGGCTTCAGGGCGACTTTGTATCCCTGCCCGGAAGCGCCGGCTGATCGCAGGGAGATGGCTATGGGCGTCATGACACGCATCGAAGACTTGAATACTGTAAGAAAATCATATTGTTTTTTTTTTAATGCGCCATTAAAAATACGACATTGAGTCTTACAACCTCCTTAAGCATTGTTACGTTTATTAATTGGGAATCCTCGATCTCTACTCATTCTGTTACTGAAAAAAAGCTTAATAAACAAAACAATCGGTCTTCAGGTCTTAGGGCAGACGCAGGATCATCGTCATCGTGTTCTCGTGGCTGCTGCGAAGAACATCAAGAACTGGTTCGTCAAGGTCCGCAAGATCAAGGCGATCTATCACACTCTGAATCTTTTCAACTTGGATGTCACTCAGAAGTGTCTGATCGCTGAGTGTTGGGTGCCTGTTTTGGACATCGAGACAATCCAGCTGGCTCTGAGACGCGGAACGGTAACTGATAGACTTATCTTCCGCTATTTCTCCGGTCATCTTACTGTCGAACGAAAAATCAACATCCTCTCTGTTATCCTCAGGAACGTAGCGGGAGTTCCGTACCTCCGATTCTGAATCGTATGGAAACGTTCGAGGATCCGCCGACGTACAACCGCACGAACAAGTTCACGAAGGGCTTCCAGGCGCTGATCGATGCCTACGGAGTCGCCTCTTACCGCGAGATGAACCCCGCACCCTATACCATCATCACGTTCCCGTTTTTGTTCGCGATAATGTTCGGCGACAGCGGCCACGGTCTCATTATGTTCCTGTTTGGCGGCTGGATGGTGCTGAAGGAGAAGCCGTTGGCGGCGAAGAAGAGCGACAACGAGATCTGGAACATTTTCTTCGCCGGTCGCTACATCATTTTCCTCATGGGTCTGTTCTCCATGTATACGGGTCTCATTTACAACGACGTATTCTCCAAGTCGCTTAACATCTTTGGTTCCAATTGGCTCATAAATTACAATGAGTCCACTGTAGCGACTAACAAGGAACTGCAGCTGAATCCGAGTTCGGGAGATTACATCGACTATCCATACCCATTCGGCATAGATCCCGTATGGCAGTTGTCAGAGAACAAGATCATCTTCCTGAACTCGTACAAGATGAAGATCTCCATTATCTTCGGCGTGCTGCACATGCTGTTCGGCGTGATAGTCGGCCTATGGAACCACATGTACTTCAAGAAGCGCATCAACATCATCTGCGAGTTTATACCCCAGGTGATCTTCCTCATGTTGCTCTTCTTTTACATGGTGTTGCTTATGTTCATCAAGTGGATTACGTATGGACCGAAGAACGATGAGGATTCCGGCCCGGCCTGCGCGCCCTCGGTTCTCATCACCTTTATCAATATGGTCCTCTTCAAGCCCAAGCCTAAGCCAATCGAACCAGCTATCCCAACCAAAATCGAAAAATGCGATCCCTTCATGTATAGTGGTCAGCATGGTCTACAGCGATTCCTGGTAGTTCTGGCTCTGCTCTGCGTGCCATGGATGCTGTTCGCGAAGCCGATTCTAATGATGCGCAGTCGCAAGAAGCAACACTACCAGCTCAACAACCACGGCGCCGAGAATGGTGACGTGGAGGGCGGCATGGGAGCCTTACAGGCATCTGGTGGCGTTACTCAGGCGGCCGGTGGCGGCGGCCACAAGGAGGAAGAGGAAGACATGATGGAGGTGTTTATTCATCAAGGTATCCACACCATCGAGTACGTTCTTGGCAGCGTATCACACACTGCGTCCTATCTGCGTCTCTGGGCCTTGTCTTTGGCCCACGCCCAGCTGTCCGAGGTGTTGTGGATCATGGTGATGAAAAACGGCCTGGCGAGGGAAGGCTGGGACGGCGGTATCATCCTTTACGTCGTCTTCGCCTTCTGGGCGGTACTCACCGTAGGCATTCTCGTACTCATGGAGGGCCTTTCCGCGTTCTTGCATACGTTACGTTTGCATTGGTAAGATTCTAGCGAAAAGTGTGCCGTTCTATATTTTAAACATCCGTTTTTCCCCTTCTTCCCTTCATATACATAGAAAATTGGTCCCGAAAGTCGGAAAATTAGCAATACCTTATTTCTCTCATTAAACTTGAGTTTTTATCTATTTTATTGCTACATATAAATGATTCATTTATTAAATTAATATACTTGTAAGTAGTTTCCATAATTACTATAAGTTTATGTGCATATTATAAGTTTATTGCTGCATAAATAAATTGATTATACTAATTATATCTACGTATTGACGAATTATTGTTGTTTGTTTCTAATTCTCGCTTTATATTTTGCAGGGTGGAGTTCCAGAGCAAGTTCTACGCCGGTTTGGGCTATAGCTTCCAGCCATTCTCCTTCGAGATTATCCTAGACGCTGCTCAGGCCACTACTGAAGATTAATTTAATAATAGACGTTAATTAAACGGTCGTTACTGATTATCGTTGTCAGTGGAAGTTTGGCGAAGTCGTAAATTTGATAGTTGCTCCCCCAAACAAGTCAGTTATGAATAATTAATGAATGAGACGCCTCTTATGAATGGATACGCGTAGAGTGTCGATTCAGCCGTTATAATCTGTCAGAGTGCAAAGTAATATCCGCGTAGTCGTTGAAATATAAGTGAGCAGCGGTTTCGTTTAATAAAACTACAAGATTTGTTACACAAGATCATTACTTGAGTATATTATCGCTGCTATAACTTGTTTTCTTATTTGTTGAAAAAATTGCAATTGAATTCGGAGTTAATACACATTTTTTTGTCCTTATCACAAAATTGACGTGTTAATTATTTACATTTTTTTAAATATTATTTTTTTTTAATATTGCAAGTCTCGCAACTTTATGAAGTGTTATGTGAGTGATGCGGAATTCATTCTGCACACTGTAGAATCTGTAGATCTGAAAACATATACACGTATACGTCGCGAAAGCGACGACAATCGATTGATGTTCCGTATATCTGTACGTAATAAAGAATGTGGCAAATTGAAGGAAAACTTGATCATTCATGAGTGATTGCGTCATTCTTTGACGCAGTGTACTCAATGAGACAATGTATTCACGCAATTGTCTAGGCTAATTCCGCTTGAAATACAATCTTGAAATTCCAGAGACCTTTTCCAAACGTCCGCACACATTTTCCTTTCACGAAATGCGGCTGTTTGACGTTCGATCCAATAGAATGTTAAATTGAACTCAAGTCCAGAATTAAACTAAAATTTAATGTGAAATTGTAAAAGAGTGGAAGCGATTTTTTTCGTAAACAAGCCAAAAGCTTGTTGTTTTAGAAAAAAATAGTTTAATTTATAATTTGAATATCCTGCTGGAGAATGGAGAAACATTTATATTTAGAAATTAGGAGGTGCTTCTTCCAAATATGTGGAACAGTTATAATTTCTCAAATTAGAAAATGTTCCTGAGGAAATTGTGTTAGAGTCGAGAAAAATATGTTCACGTTCCTCCGCAATAAGAGTAAACATTGACATTCCTCAAAATCGTGATCTCGAAAATATCTCGAAGAGGAGATTCAATTATTACTACATTCGTATAAGTTACAACTTCCGAGAAGCACCGTGAGTCATTATATTGGGAAATTCTGCCGATTTGCTTTCCGACAATGCAACAACCGACAATGATACACATTCGAAGTGGTCCGAATTTTCCATCCCACACCGAAAACTCATTCTAATCGCTACTGATTGCTACATCCACCTTTCCTTCTTCCAGCTTGGACTTTTCTGACGGCTCTCCCACCCAGTCTGGTGTATTCTTATCAACCTGGACTTCGATTGGTGTGCCGCGCAACGCACGCGTCCCTTGCTCGCAGCCGACCTCTCGCCGCCTCTGAGCCCCTCAGTAGTCGCCCACCAGCGTTCAGAGGTGGATCTCGCGGTCCTCCGGTTTGCTTCATATTTTCATCACGTCGAGCAGCGAGCAGCCTTGAGCGCGTCATGGCATCCGTGTGCATCATCGGTTCCGGCAATTGGTGAGTTGAGCAGCACATCGGCTCGGGGAAGCAGGTGCTGATAAGAATTGTCGCGCGACAGAGCGATATCGATGAGGATGATGATCCGGGGAAGTCCCGAACGTGATCGATTTGCACGTGCTGTCGCGCGCGCTTACGCAGATGTGGCACACGAATTTGTTTATTACGCGCGTGTCCCGGCTAGTCGCCGACGAGGTGGTTTCGAATAACGATGGGTTTCGCGTGGAATTCAAACCGTGCTGAACGATACATAATCGATGCGCGCTGCTCACTTAGATAGTAATTAATGATCGATAATTGAGCATTAATACGTATTCATCTCAATTTTTTACGCGTGTTTGACTTGTGTGATTATGTAAACACGCATTTGAATATAGTCGTGTGATATATTTAGTTGCATTTTAAACCAATTGATAACTTCTTTACAGATGATTACGAATTAGAGACAGAATATATGTAACTTTTATAAATGACTTTCATTTTGTTTATATCTTCTTTTTCATTTTTTTTATTATTTTAATTTTTTATTACTTTATTATTTTAATAGGGAGAAAATAGCGATCTTGTAATTTCACAGTGATTCTTACAGTGACATTAATGAATTATTAAATATTTGCAGGGACATTAATTCTGCAATTGGACATTGATAATAATAATTTCGTAGCTGTAATATGTAGCATTACATATTTGAAATTAATCATTCCTATTGTCTTTGATAAATAACCTAGGATATTGATTATAGTTATATTGAATTCATAGGGGATCGGCTATCGCGAAGATAGTCGGCGCGAACGCGAAGACGCTGGACAAATTTGCCGACCGCGTTACGATGTACGTTTACGAAGAGATTATCGACGGAAAAAAGCTGACGGAAATCATCAACCAGACCCACGAGAACATCAAATATCTTCCTGGGCACAAAATTCCTGAGAATGTGGTAAGGTGACCCCGAATTTGTTGTTCATCTAATGACCAAGATTATTAGTTAATTTTGCTCGAAATAAACTGTAAAGTATAATCTATTTTATTATTTTCCCCTATTTTATTTTATTAACTTTTTTTTTTGAATTGTACATTTTTAGAACTCCAGCAATTCAGCGTTAATCTTTGAAAATTAATTCGGAATTTTTGAAATTTTGCACACCGCGGTCTTGACACGGTTTCTCCTCTACGGTTTCCTTAAATTCTGCGGGGTATCGAAGTGCTAAGTTCAAGACCTATTAATATTACTTATCTTTCTCTACATATCCGATACTTGTAATTTCCGATTTGGCTTAAAATTAGAAAGTTGCGAGCAGACAAGCTGCCGACCTCAGTAGTTCCAATCGCGCAGTATTGATTCATTTCGATTATCTATTCGCGATCTTGAACTTTACTCATCGAACTTCGAACGCGATCAAGGCAACCGTATTCGCTTTACCGCTGCATTTCGATGTTGCATTTCTCGGCTAACGCTGTCCGATCACGTTTTCCACCTTTTTGCTGCATCTTATTTTAAACAATCGCGTGAGACAGAAGTTGTGCTCGTATTAGATAATAAACAAGGCAATAATAAAGCGCCGTTTATAACTCGTGCATCTAAAATACCAGGGTTATATAATTAGAGTCGCCGGTTCTGTTACCTGTTGAAAACAAGAATCGTGACGCAGTCACTTTGATTATTTCTATTATTATTCATAGCATTCATAGTCTCGTTGCATTTTTACAAATAATTTCGATCATTTTCATCTCATTAATTTTGTCCTTAAGTCTTTTAATTTCCACTTTCTTCGGCCGATATGATCGGGTGAAGTAATTCGAGTTATCAGAGAATGGAAGTGGGAGTTGTGTGTTCTTTATCGCGAATATGGTTCAGGGAACTAGGCCTTTAAGTGTATATTCCGTAAAGTGAGGAATCACTGGGTGTGCGTGCGTATGTAGAGCCGGCTAAGAATAACGTGTCTACATGAAACATTCATCCTTCGGATACGCGATGCTATAGACGCATTCAGCCAAGTAGAAGTTAAAAAGGGAGACGATGGAATTGGCAACTTAGCGTATACCTTCGTACGGTTTGAGGAACACGTATCAATTGTCTCGTCGCTATTTATTATTGACATTCTCTTGGCTGATTAAAAATTGACTTTTTCTATTTCCCGTTTGGTTGGATGTGAAATTGATTCAACGTTAAAAATTCTCTTAAATAAGAGAGAACATCTTCAATTTTTTTGAAACATATTTAGAAAATAGGAAAGGAGAAAGAGAAAAATGATCACTCTTTTTCTTGATTATATCACACACCGTGATTATATCATATCTCATTTTTCTATGGAATTTCTTGAGTGCGGTAAATGAGAACAGGCTGCAGAAGTATTTCAAATAAATCACGGCTTTTAAAACCAGTTTTGTCGTTAACTATGCGCACTTTCACATCGTAAACTAATTGACATTCAACAGTCCAAAATTCCAAGGTCATAACTCAAGCTGTAATCCACTCAAGATGAAGATCTAAGTGCGTGAAGTATTTAATATAAACAGTCTTTGGAGTACAAAGTTCTAAGTGTCTGCATTCGTTCTGTGCTAATAAACAATAGATATTTCGGATGCCATGTATAGACGCGGCTCATGTTAAGCGCGCGAAGCGTAAGAAAGTGCGAGTGGAGCTAACAGATAAAATACACGATATGATTTTCCAGTATTCTATTACGTCGAGCGGTCTAATGGCGAAGTAGCGTCCAAGGCCGCGTTATTTTCCGCACTCGAAACGTATAATTGTTCTCGCTGTCATCGAGCGCGCTGGTTTAAAGCTGATAATACTGAAAATCACCGGTGAGATGCGGATTATACGAACTGCCAAATTCACCGTACATCCTTGGCCTGTTCTTTTTGGCCGAACTGGCTCTCAAGAAATTTACGCATATTGAAGCGTGAGAATCGTACGCTTCAGACGCTTCGATGTACATGTAAATTTGAACTAGTACAGCCAGTTTAGCTGAAAAGAGCAGACCATCTTTCAATTTCACAGCCAACTCGCAAGGACGGTTTCTTCGTCACGATTTTTCATCGTCAAATTCTCGAGTTCTAAACTGTCAGGGGAGTTTTTCCTTAAGACCGAGAACGGGAATCTGTAGTTCCCTCGAAATTTTTCCCTAAGCTCGTAGCGACATTCTTCATATTTTATTTATTCTGATACCTTTAGGATCTCAATATTGGGATTTTGGGACTTGAAGTGTGATAAACTATCTCTAGGTCGCGATACCCGACGTGATGGAAGCTGCGAAGGACGCGGATATACTTATCTTCGTAGTGCCGCATCAGTTCATCCGAAGGATATGCAGCACGTTACAGGGGAAGATCAAATCCACCGCCGTTGGCCTTTCTCTGATCAAAGTATGTATTTCAAGCACATACCCAATAATAAACATTAAGTAATAAACATTAAATCAATCTTTTGAAACATCGATTTTATAAATTATATTATTGTGGATTTATAAATATATGGATCTTATAAATATTTTAACATATAATATTTTAGAAATTTGTTTAAACTGTTACTTGATAATATAATATTCCCAAATATTAAAGTGATATTAATGTTGTATATAACGTCACTAAAAATATATTAAAAAATAATATTTCTACACTATGGCCCGTATTCTGAACTCTCTCTTATCGATAAGAGTGCCTTAAACGTGACTTCTCAGTCAATTAGGTGATTCCTAAGCCACTTTTAAAGGCACATTTATCGATAAAAGAGAGTCCAGAATACGGGCAACAGTGTAGAAATTTATTTATTATTTTTAATATATTTTTAATAAGGTCAAATATTTTTAACAATGACATTATATACGACATTAAAAACATATTTGAAAATATTACACGTTATAAAATATCGTTGTCGTAATGTTGTATCGTTGTGTTAATGATTTCTTGCTTACTGGGTATACGTTCAAGAACACGGTGGTTTTTTGTGATTTGCACCCATATAAATCAATCCATATACATTCCAAGTTTCTCCGCAGGGCTTCGACAAAAAAGAAGGGGGCGGCATCGAGCTTATCTCTCACATAATTTCGAGGGAATTGCAGATTCCTGTCTCGGTCTTGATGGGCGCTAATTTGGCTTCCGAGGTGGCCGAGGAGATGTTCTGCGAGACCACCATTGGTAAGAATGATAAGATTGTAATTCTGAGTAATTGTGTATGTGTGTGTGTGTGCACGCTCGAAATATTAATTGTTCGCAGCGACGAAACTTTCGTCCGTTGAGTCGACTGTTGATAACTGGAAAAACATTCCATCAGAAAACTCGAAACTTTTTCGAACTTCGAAACAGCGATAAGAAACGCATTCGTAATTACACCTGTCGCGAAAACAGGTCGCGTTGCGAGTTATGTAACTGCATAAAACATCTCGCAGTTCTGACCTTATCAGATCTTATAGGTCTAATTTGTGCGTCGATCGCCGATATTTCACACTTCATTAGTATCGGTGATTCATAATATTGAAACTCGACGCATTTAAGAGTCACACGTAATTTACAATTCTGATTGCGCTTTGCAGGTTGCAAGGACAAAGCGATGGCGCCGATACTCCGTGACCTGATTCAAGCTTCGTACTTTAGGGTGGTAGTTGTCGAGGACGTAGATTCCGTGGAATGCTGCGGTGCGCTCAAGGTGCTGACAATTATTTCTTATTTCATCGAATATCGTTTCTTGTTCCCAATTAAATCCGAATGTTTTATTTGATTTAATTTGATCTTATTAAGAAGAAAGGCCTATATTTTAATACATTTTATTTCACGATTCATTTGAATTTTGCTTTCAACGTTCGATTAGATTATTTAAACTCGACAGATTGAAATTGAAGCTTAAATTCACTTGATTTTAATTCAGACTGATTTTAACATCTTTCGTATCAATGACTTTTTAGAACATAGTTGCCTGCGGCGCTGGTTTCGTCGACGGACTGGGTTTAGGTGATAATACAAAAGCTGCGGTAATCAGACTAGGCCTTATGGAAATGATAAGGTTCGTCGACGTGTTTTTCCCCGGCGGAAAATTGGCAACCTTCTTCGAAAGTTGCGGCGTGGCAGATCTGATTACGACGTGTTACGGTGGACGCAATAGAAAAGTCTCGGAAGCCTTTGTCAAGACCGGCAAAGTAAATAAATATACAAGCTCTAAAAATCATATTAATCATAATTTTAACATCTCTCTTAGATAATAATTTTTTTCAATTCCCCCAAAACAATACGACTGTCTAACAACAAACAATACGAATGTCTAAAAAATACCCCATAGACGCTTTATTATCTAAAAGACGTTTTTACGACATCTTAAGACGTCTTTAATGTCACCTAAGTTTCTTCGAATTGGAAAGTTTCGAGAGATTTTTGGCGATTTGACACGCGTTATTCCTAACAATTTCATAAACTTTTATGTCCGAAATAATATTGCAAACCCAGCCTTATCTTTGTACAGACGATCGAAACGCTGGAGAAAGAAATGCTGAACGGGCAGAAACTACAGGGCCCATTCACCGCCGAGGAGGTGAACTACATGCTGAAGTCGAGGAATATGGAAAATAGGTTCCCACTATTCACGGCGATTCACCAGATTTGCGTCGGTGAACTAAAACCGACGGATTTAATCGACTGCATACGCAGCCATCCGGAACACATGTAAGCTCACAATTTTCATCATAACGTTGAAAATGGTTCGCGAATTTGATATAGGTGTATAGGAACAATTGAGCCCACGCGGATCTATGGATCTTTTGTTACTGAGAATTCAATAATCTTCCAATAAGCCTGAAGCCCATGGATTCGAGACTGCGTTTACGCCGGTTCACTTTCGATGTCGTAATTAAAAAAACATCGGAAAAATATCGGAGATCGGCTCGAAACGCTTTTAAGAATCTTTTTAAACGAGATTTCTAAGAACGTTAACTATTTAGACTCACGAGTATCCAGTGCCACTTGATCCCGACCAGAGGCGGATCTGAGTTTCGTAAACTGAGTCCCCCCCTCGTTCGCCGATAAGATAAGTTAACGTATGAAAGTTCGATAAAGATGTGTCAAACTCTGCTGCCTGATAACAGTCTCACGAGAGTCACTCTGAGAATCCCATCGCTTAAAATTTCTTCCATTTTCAAGATCTCATGGATCTGTATTTTCGAGAATTTCGAATTTCGTAAAATCAAATCGTTCGTAAGATTCCGGACTTGAATAATCTGAAGTTCTGTGAATCCTTTCCTGGGATTCGGTGGTCCAGAATCGCGGAAACTGTTACAGTTTCTTTTATAATTTTGACTCTACGATTTTACGATTTACGATTACTAGATTCATGGCTTCGGGTCTTTTACGGAAATGAAAGTGCTGTTTAGATCCTACGTTTGAGTCGAATAGTTTAGTTTAATGGAATTTCGCATCGCGTTGAGCGCGATAGACAAGACAAATCGTTATATCTTGTGAATAAAAAAAAAATATATATATATATATATTTTCCTGAGACTTTATTCGACGTGTTAACGGAGTAGACAGACTAGAGCTATAGATCTTTGATCATCGATTGTTGTATGCGTTCCCTATAAAACGATCCCGACGTTATGTATACCGAGAATGAATAAGAAATATACTTAATTATTTGTTGAGAAAAAAAGAAAATTCAGCTCTTCTGTTCTCTCTCTCTCTCTCTCTCTCTCTCTCTCTCTCTCTCTCTCTCTCTCTCTCTCTTTCTCTTTGTCTTCCTGAAAGGTTCCGAAGACAATTCGTCTTTCGTCGTTGATCGAACTTAAGGCCCTCTGTAATCCTCTCCTAGTCGAATTATACATTATTATATACAGAGCGTTACTAAAATACTCGGACAAGCTTTAGAAATGAATTTTTTGCATCGAAATCACGTAAGAGAATCTATACATCTAAAAATAGACTTTTGCAACTATTTCTGCGGCTTGTCCAAACGGTCACTTTCAATTAATCGTATGTAATTCTCATCTCTTGGCTGACGCGAGAGTTGTTTTGCCCGCAGTAATTATCACGGGACTATAGTGTCGGCCTAAAGGGGTTAATTCGTATTCGCTCCGTATTTAGGAACGGAGACGCCTCGTCGACAACGCGGAAGTCGCCCAAAAGCCACCTGTGAAGTAACAAGCCGGTGTTGACCATCGACAGAAGACTCGTCGCCGCTTGAAAGTCAGCGTCATAATTCGCTCGAAAGCGCGACGTTGAGAGAGAGAAATTTATATCGAACTCGGCTGTCGAGCCGTAGTGAATGTTAATTGGCGAAAATTGGCTTTTGGCAGAACGCCGTTAATCGGCATTCTGCCGATGTATTTCCAATTACGACACTTGTCTTGTTATGCTCTTCTTGTGTATTATCATATCTAGGAAAATGTTATTTACTCAGATGAGCTCGTTCTTACGTCAAGAAACTTAAAGTCGTATCGACGTAACGTAACGAACAAAATGAACAAATGTGAAAGGCTCATCAAGATGATCGCTGCACCCTAAGGATGCTCGATACAGCTGTGATAGTTAATAGACTGTCCAGGTCGTGAAATGAACAACTTCGTCGTTTTTGATTACCGATAACTGTAATGTACCTGCATATGTGGCAGCATTTTATTTATATTTTAATATGGCTAAGAATCTTTTTTATCAGTAGTTAAATTTTTAAGGAGAAATCGTGGGATCTGAGAAAATATCTGGACGTTCTTCTGCAAAGAGTCGTCCCGTATTTTAGCGTAAGAGTACGAATAGTGTAAAGCGTCTGTTATATGTAATTAAGATTACTGTATCTGTAATCGGAAAGTATTTTGGCAAAAGAAGATGTGAGATGATGAAGCGATTTGTAAATATGAATGATTTATCCTTTAAAACCTTTAACTGTCACATATCTTAATCTCTTAATCTCTCATAGTCAGTAATAAAAAGATTGCAACATTTTTTTTCGACGAGTTTCGCAACGCATCTCGTAGCCAATAGGAAAATGCCTCTCTTGAGAATAAAAATCAAATTTTTTTATTGAAGACGGAATACGTTTAGAAATTTATCAAGAGTGCTGCAACTCTTTCGTCATTGACCAAACCACATGCTCATTCGCACACGCACACACACAATTTAATTATATTTAATTTAATTTAATAGATCCTGCCAGATAAATGTGATTCCGATCGTGTAATGTGTAATAATGTGTAGATCCGAAGTATGAATCGGAATTTTTACGATCTCGAATTTCTCCGAATCAGGAAGTTTAAAGACCAAAGTTTTAAGATATTTTTTACCATATTTATATTTTGTTGCCGTCTGATAAATCTATGAAGTTATCGCGAAATTGAACGTAAGGACACGTTGTGTGGGGTCAAGTTCAGACTTCATTATCATTATTTGCACGCCGCTAATTTCGTCGTGGCGCTTCTTCACCGCGGGAGTTTTTGCTCGGTTGGCCTTGGTCCAGAGCTTGCGCACAAGCTATTAGAAAATAATTGGCAATCGCCGTTAAGGTCAGCAGGCTTCTAAGTCAGTCGGTCAGTCCATCTTCGCGATCGATCGGCTGTCGATCGGACAGGATATCTTTAACAGAGAAGGATATCAAGAGGAAGGAAGAAGGATGCCGGACGCGAAGAAAAGAGTATGCATCGTCGGCAGTGGCAATTGGTAATTTTCTTCGTCAAAGAATAAATAATTAGAAAATAATCCTATACGCAATTATATATTACTTTCTCTTACCTCGATCTTTAATTCTTTTTCTTTTCATTTATTTATCGAAATATATAAATCTTCGTCCGAAGAGGTGGAGGCAGAGAAAGAGTTTACATAATCATGAACTAATCGCGTCAATCGATTAATGTTTAATATTGCTTTATTAGTAAATTAGTATTATTTATATGTAGCATATTGAATAATATTAAAGAACGAATATTTCATCTTTAAAAAATAATTAAGTTTTAAGTCGATAATAGAACGGAGATCGCAGTTTCTTTTGATCCAGTTTTCTGTAATAAATATGCCACATTACTATTGTGCACCACTTGTCCACTTTTGTTCCAAAATTAACTCGCTGTATCACCGCATAATTTTAAGGACAAATCACACGTGCAATAAAATTTATACTGAAATTTAACATATTATATTCGTTTTCCTCACAACGAGAGACGCGAATTCTCCGTGCACGTCGGTTGAAACTGAATGATATATTCCTAAATATATAAAAAATAATTGTATTAATACATAATTAGTGAAATGTAATCAATTGACAGTAACGCAACGTTGAGGCAAAGTATCTTCTTGTAACATGCAACGTGTCATTTTAGGGGCTCGGCGATCGCAAAGATCGTCGGCGCGAATGTTATGAAGTTCAACAACATATTCGAGACTCGAGTGACGATGTATGTGTATGAGGAGATTATCAACAACGAGAAGCTCACCGACATAATCAACACCTTGCATGAAAACGTCAAATATCTGCCTGGGCACAAACTTCCGGAGAATGTAGTAAGTATCTCGAGTATATTAGCGTTTTTCTCAATTGCAAAATTATCTATGTTAACGAAAGAAAAAGAGAGAAGAGACATAGCTCAACAACATAAGATTCTATATAAGGTATACGAATTTTACATGTGCAATAATGTAATTTTGCATTGCTGCAAAATGTGATATATTTATTTTTTGGATTGCCAAAACGATTAAAAATGATGAAAAACAACGTAATCTAAAGAAAGATCAATCATGTAAAAAAAGACTCCTCAGATTACAATCAAATAAAATATATAGAATAGACCTTAGAAACTGAACTTGCAGTTGACAATCGCATAAATTTTATTAAATTTTTTAATACAAAATTTAATAAAATTTATGCGATCGTCACCTGCAAATTCAGCTTCTAATCCAAAGAAATTGCAAAGATATGGGAACTGAAAAAGGTCTGAGATTGAGGATCTTAGGATTGCAAAAATCTAGAAACCCACACCAGACTTTACAAGTGCAAAGGGTTAAAATTGCCATTAGCGCAATTTTTATTAGAAAAATTTTAGCATCTTTCAAATCTCACACGTACATTCGGAAAGCTGCAAGCTCGACGTCAAGCGTATCAAATTAAACAAAAGATATTTCGGTAAAAATCCGGAGTGTGCAAGGATTTTTGTCCTGTAGAGAGACAGAAAAAGAGACATTTTCAGTCAATTAATAATTGGTGGTGGTGCGGACGTAGACCTTTCCAGAAGGCATGGCTACGCGGTCAACACCTCCCGGAAAAAGTTTCGGGATGTCCTCGTCCTTCACTGTCGGCAGGATCATCACCTTCTCGCCCGGCTGTAATAATTCGCGCGTGTAATTAAACAGAATACATACGATTAAATATCCCAAACAGCATACAATATTTAAGAAACATTAATACCAAATATTTCATAAATATTCAAATATCCGGGAAAGTCAGGTATGACAAAAAATTATGATAAATATTCCAAAATATTTACGAAGAATATTTTTCATAAATAATTACAACTTTTATTTAAATTATGTTTTTATCGTTTACGAAAAATATCCTTCATAAATATTAATAGTATTTATCATAATCTTTTCCATACTTCACTTTCCTTAGAATATTTACAAAATATTTAATATCTATATTTTTTTAATATTTTATAAATATTGTGCGCTGCCTGGGATACTATCACAAATGGCGAAGAACGACAAAAGGATAAAGTGAGACTTACCACCCAGTTGGCGGGCGTTGCTATTTCCGGTCTTCTGTCCACGAGCTGCAGCGAGTCAATCACTCGTAATATTTCGCTGAAATGGAAATGACATTACATTTCATGTTTCACCGGTGCTGAGAAGAAATTAGAAAGATATAAAGCTCGCGATATACTCGGAGCTCTAAGATGAACTTACTCGACGTTACGTCCGGTGGATTGCGGGTATTGCATGGACAATCGCAGACGATGATCCGGACTGATAATGTACAGAGCGCGGACGGTCAGAGCGGTTTCCGGGTCGTCCTTGCTCTTCTCGTCGATCATGTCCAGTTGCACGGCGAGTTTGCGATCGTGATCGGCGATGATGGGGTATGGAAAGGCACCGGGAATGTCTTTGCAGTACGACTTAATATCCTGCAACGAGACAAATTAATTAGAAAGTCAAATAACTGCGAAAAATATCATTATAGGCGTCCAATTATAATAATACAATTACATGCGTTCAATCGGAATGTCGAGCCAATAATTCAATTTATTCGGACAAAATCAAACGTCTTAAATATCGTGAGTTCAAAAAGCTCTTACATTGACCCAGTCCACGTGGTCCTTAAGTTTGTCAACGGAATGAGCCAACAGCTTAGTATTGCGCTTAATGAAGTAAGGCTGGTGCACCGCGATGCGACCCAGTTCGGTGGTGCACACAGGGGTGAAGTCGGCAGGGTGAGAGAACAGAACTACCCAACTACAAAAGGTGATAAACGATCGTTAGTGAAAACCAGTTAAGAATTAAAACTGATATCAGCAAATATTGCGAAATGATATACAAAGATACAAAGTTAGAAAAAATTTAGCAGATGAGGAAGAGCAATGTTAAATTGAAATAGTCAAATTGAAAATTTCGGAGGGGTAAATTTATCAAGATTTATTCATGATATCGAGAAATAATGATAAATAAAAATACAAAATTAATGTAAAAAAATGAAAATTTAGTAGATAAGAGAAAACGATATTAAATTTGAAACACACACAAACACACATACACAATTAAGTTCAAATTCGATTAGAATTTCTTCTGGCTGGGCAAAAGTCTGAACGATAAGCGAGCTCAGCAGAAAGTGCCGCCAAGTGTGATCGCTTGTTACGGCACTTATCAGAGTTACAATGATATAACCGTTTGCGCCTGCCTTGATTCGAGTGCTTTCAAGAGCGAGCACTTATTATAGTTGCGTTCTCTCGCTTTGGCCGTACTGCCAAGGTAGTACAACAGCCGTTGTTGCAATCTGTATTTATTTCAGCTCACGGTCGCTCTGAAACTTTTCAGCTCGAAGCGTCAAACTTGTCCCCTGATCGCACGCATTTGTAATTCATGCATGCATTACACTGGTGCACTCGCAGCCTCGAGAAGTTCGCCTACTACGCAGTAGCACGGATAGACATGCCAAGTAAATTAATCCAATGAGTTATGTTGGTTTAACGGATAAAATTATAATTGTCGACGATATAAAATGAGTTGGCGTTACGTTACGATTTGAATTTACTTCTCAATCGCGTAGAATTGAACGCTTCTAGATTAATAAATGCGAGTTGATTTCCATTAGTCACAATGTAAGCTGTCAAGCTATCTGCAACAGGTTGTTGTTCACAGTGGCGCTTGTTACGTCAGAAAAGATATTTATTCATAGATTCCACTTTGCTGCAAATTGTGCACACATGAACAAATGCAAAATGCAAAATCAACAGTTTGCCATCCGCATCGAATTCAACGATGCATTTCGCAATCTCGGGACATGTTTATCGGTATACTTATATGAATGTTTTTACAAGTTAAATCATTTCTCCGAGGTAACGAATTTCGAAATCAACACTGTCTTACGATAACGTCTTATCCTGTCTTTCCACATCTCATTTTTCATATTTTATCTTGCGTTATGTCATGTCTAAAGCTGTAGGCTCTTATTTTTAACATGGACTAAAAAATTATCAACGATGAAATTTTCAAGAGAAGTTCAGAATAATATGTTATATTTTACACACACACACACACACACACACCAATCATAATTATAACAGGTCTTATCACAAACTTATTTAAATATAAGAGTCAGACGCGAGATAAAGGTGCGTCAATATATAGTTGATATAATTCAATTCAATAACGTTGAGTTATATGTTCAAGATTAAAAGACATTTCGATCTCTTTCAGACTTTTTTCATAATGCTATAATTACAAAACATCCAGAATTACGTTTTAATCTTAAGAATTATCTCAAAATCTAACTACTGACAAAAAAGTCTTGCGGCGAATTTTTACCTTGAATTTAGGCCTGAGGCCTTATAATTATGATTGTTTATCAAAAAGAGCCTTAATCGTTCGTTAAATATAATCAATAATACAAATAATTGTAAGCACATAAATCTTAAAAATATTAAATAAATTGACAAATATTGGTAATAATATAAGTGACTCACGATTTGCCCTGCCACTCGTAGAAGTCGATAGGACCTTGGGTGGTCTCGGCCTTAAAATTCGGTATTATGCTGTTGAGCCTCATTATCGCGGTGACCTTGACTGGATGTTCGAGGGAAAAGTTATTTGAATTTCAATTTGACTCTCCCAACAGGTTGTTTGCGGTGCGCGCCTCGGATGCCAATCTGCGACAAACTGCGTCGCCTGCTAGCTCGCGCACGTATTTTATGTGCGGCTCCCATCTTTAATACAATGTTACACAAGTCAGATATCGTATATCTGTTTACATGTACTTCAATATCAAAGATTCTGGAAATGATGTGAATGACTAATATTATCTAATGCCGATAAGCTATCGAACAGTTGTCATATAAAACTCCGATCAATTTCAGATCAGACATTATTAGTAATAACATAATCTAATTGAAAACATTCCCATTCCAAAATTTACTTTCACATATATATCTTATGTATGCGGAAAATCAAAATAGCACTGTAAATCCTTAAAGTATTCCTGAAGTTTTCTCCTTTCCCGAGTTGTAATTCTCTAGAAATTTATAGAAGAATACTATAAGAATGATTTAGGAAGTTACATGCATCACGATTGGAACTCCTCTCCTGAGAACTTTTCGGAGTATTCATATAGAATTATTTTATATTTACGGATGTATATTTCATGAATTAAAAAGAAATAGTACTTAAGAATACAAAGAAAGAAGATTACAAAATACCCAATAAACAAAAGTAACAAATTATACCAATATTATAATTTTCCATTCGGCAGTATAAATGTTAC